AGTTTAACGCGGCGTTATTTAAGTCAATAAATAGGTATAATTTAAGTTTGGAGCGAAATGATGATAACGTTATGATAAAATTTGAAAAACATGTTGCGCTTACTATGATCAAAAATATGTGATACGATTATAAAATTAATTGCGGAATTCGATAAAAAGGTATAGATATATATGAAATATTATGTAAAATAATTATCTCTATTTTTATTGCAAAAAATATTATCGTTATGAAGAATTAGCTTTGATAGCATTAAATACCGCGTCGCTTGAACAAAACGCGTTTATAAATTAGGTAGGGATGTGAACACTTCGACTAAAAAAGGTCTGGGTCCTGCTCCTTGTTCAGTAATAAAATTTAAAAAAGGGGGTCCTGGTTAACAGAGCATAAAGAAATATTGACTCAAAATAACATTTTTTTCATTTAATTATTTTTCGTACTCCATATTTACAAGTAAAAAATTAATTCATATTTGAAATCTTTTAATTAATTGCACATCATAATATAAAATGGAAGTATAAAAACATAAAATTTTGAAAAATGCTAAGGAAAAAAATGATCTCACGAAAAAAAATTTAAGGCTCGGCCCGTTTATCCGAGTAGGCCCTGCGGGTCTTTATAAAATCCTCCACTTTTAAATCCCTGAAATTAGACCTAACTTATAAAAAAAATATTATATTATCGTCTTTTTTTTATTCAAGAGAAGTAAGATATTTTTACATTATAAAATATTAAATTAAATTTACATTACATATAAATAAACAACTAAGGCAGTCATTGGTCTGGTGGAATCAATGAAACGCTTAAGATTATTTTGTAACTTTTTTATTAACATTTTATGTATTGTGCACCTTATTCTCTATAATGAGATATACAGACCCATCAGACCCGTCGCCTGGAATAATTTTTCTCATACTTATAAAACATTTTAGGATTTAGTTTTATTTTTGTAATAACGAGATATCTTCCAGCGTATTATATTCTTTGCAATACATTATTTTTTCTCTATTTTGTTATATAATTGAATCCTATATTAAAAAAATATATTCAATATTAGATCATATAATAAATCTTCATAACATATTTTATTGCAAAAGATTTCTAAATTTAATTTTTCATTTCATTTCACATAAATATCTTATATATATTAAATAATCATTCATAATTTTAATAAAAATCTTGGAACCTGGAAACTAAATTTAAAATCTTAAAATATTTTTTATGGACACAATCAATATTACCCAAGTGGTCGAAACTTTAATTTAACACATATAATTGATATAATCTTTATAAATATTATATTGAGACAAACAAATTTTATAACAATAAATTCTAAATGATATAATGAATTTAATTTCTCTCTCTTTTTTTTATTGACTTAAATATTTCATTTATTGAATTAAAATCTTATCGATTTACTATCCTTACCTACAAAAAGCGAAATTATTTGAAATTTTTAGTAATTTATATCATAGACCTGCAAGGGTCCATTTCGATATGTATTTTTAATAATTTTTAAATTTGGACTATTTTTGAATTCTTGTCTCTTTTAAAATTGCAATATCCACAATGTATAAAGTTTGGCATAAGTTGTTCAGTTATTTGACATTAGATTTTTTTTTCGACACAAGTCTGACCAGGCCTAAACTATTTATATTTACTTTTATGCCTGGGACCGATTGATTAAAATTATCGGTCTTTTTTTCATGAGAGCCTAAATAATTATTAATTCCCCCCCCCCCCCCCTTATTTAACGATCGATTTTCACAATGTTAATTAATATAATTATAAATAATTATGTTTCCCCCTGAATATTAACGAATAAATATCTTTTTCTTCTTTTTCTTTCGTATTAGAAAATTTAAATATGTAAATGATGTTATATATAGCATACTATATATTATATGATTTTATAAAATATTATATAATAAAATCAAATCACAATAATATTTGATAAAAGAATAATACACCCCCTCCCCTCTTTTCCTAAATATCATGGCCTAAGGGATAAGATAACTGTTTTAAATTCATTCGCATTTAAACCAGAACTAGGTATTATAAAAAGAAAATAGGAAAGAAAAAAAAATTAGGAGGAGAATTTTTTTTTCTTCCTCCTACCTTAAATGTAAAAAAAGTGATAAAGTATATATTAAAAAAAGTGTAATGACATTAACCATAATTATCAAATTATTGACTTTATTATATAATTTTTTTTATAGTATTATTTTGTGATGAACTAATTATATTTTTGCTTTATTTTCAACATAGTTTTTATTAGTACTTTATAACTTAGACAATATGGAAAAAAAAATATCCTACAAAAAAATTAGTCGTTAATAAAAAATGACTTTAATAAAAAAAAATTGCTTTTATTTTTATAATTGATTCGCAATTATTTTTGATCCCATAGTTTTATTAAAAAATAAATTTATTTAATTAACTTTTGTTGAGTTTTATGTGTATTAGTTGAGGCAAGCTGGGAATCATCTTATGCAACATCGAATTTATTTTTCTATATAAGGAAAAAGATGTATAAAAAAGGAACAATTAAATCGAGTGTGGCTAGAAAATAACTATATTGACCTAAGAAAGGGCTTAATATCACAAATATATAATTCTAATTTCTTTCTCTTTAGAAATGAATTGTGATCCCATTATGCACAAAAGAAATGTTGGTTTAAAAAATGATTATGTGTGATAAATGTAATAAGTACTTATTATTCACGTCTTACAGATCATGTTTTGCAATATATATTATTCAATTAAAAGTAATACTATAGGATTTTATGAGAAAAGGGAAATAAATTGGGTATTTTTATATTCAAATAGTACAACCATGCTGGGCAGGCCGTAATATTAAATAAAATACTCGCCCTGCCTGTTTCCTTATTAATTTTTATACTTTCTATTATTTCGATCTCCGATTAAAAATCGCTTAATTAAAAAAGATAGACAAGAAAAGGTTTAAAAGCATTAATAGGTGGGTAGCCGAATGGCGAGAAGTAACGAATGGGTTATTTTATATGTCAGCTTTTCCAGAAAGCATTGGGCTAAATTTTTAACCATCGGCCATATTTTAGACGAAAGGAGAACACAAAAATCTGATATATCAGATTATTTATACATAATAATTTTAAAGTGAAAGAATCACGCCTGAAAGGGGTCGCTTTCTTAAGATTTGTCGTGGTGAAGTTGGTTAAAATACTAGGTTCAAGTTAAACGGAATTAATTATCGATGATGTTATTTTGGCATTTCTGAAGCAGGACTAGTTGAGTATCGGTTGAATAAGAGTAGAATTATCCTTGAATGTGACTAGCAGATAGTACATTTAATCTATCTAGTTTGGTTGATTTAATTTAACTTTCGTTTTAAATACGTTTCAACAGATAAACATAGAACTATTATCAGAATTCAATTACTTTGTGTTTGAGATATAATATTAAAATGAAGTCGGACTAGACCTGGGCCCTAGGTTTTTTTATCATTGGGCTAGCATCCCGCTTGTGTCAAAAAAACGAATTTACAATAAGTATCTATCTTAAAGTGAACATAATTAAATCGATAAAAATTAACCTTTTAGCACGCCTTATAGATATGGAGAGTTGATTAGTCTAGATCTATTTGCTTGTAAAAGCGGAGGTTTGGTATTTATGATATTTTGACGGGGAAAGCATTTTCAAATTGTCGCCAAACCTTGTAGGAATGATCAACATACTCATATCGTTAATAATGAAGAAAAAAAGGTCCTTAAAAAAATATATTTATATAGAAAATGGTACGAATTAAAATCGATTGAATGCCGTAGGAAATGCAAAAAAGAATTGCTAAGAAATTTTGAAATTCAATAAACCTAAGACCCAACTGATGTATACTGTCTCAGGTGAGCAGAATTCATTCATTAACTGGCCATATCATACAAGGGAAGCGCTTCATTAATTTGAGCAAAATATAGGTCCCTTAGAAATGTTTAAATTAGGTAGGGAGTAGTTTGGTTTTATTAAACCGCCCGATTTAGGTCAATTTTTAAAAATGGTCCGATTAAGATTATAGCCAAAATAATATTATGTAAGCCTCGAGATTTGGTAAATAAAGGTTCAAACCTTTCTTCCATCTATGAGCAAAATCCTCAGTATTACATAATAATATTTTGGCTAAAATATTAATTGGGCCTTTTTTTAAAATCGCACCTTTTAACAACACTAGTAGTTATCATTCTACAATCGAGAAATCAGAATTTTATTCTTTTCCTTTAAGAATGGAAACATAATTTAACCTTTTAATTATTATTCCGCCCACGCACGTATATTTTATTCTCTACTTTGCGTCAGCAATTTTGCATTTTACTGGCGAGGGATTTAAAAAAAACACCATTGCCATCTGGTTAACAACGCTATAAGAAACTTATATTTTCATTTTAAAAAAAATGTAATTTGAAGGTTTTTTTAAATGTAAAGAGGGCTGAGGGGACCCCTAAGGATTACATTTCTACTAACAATTTTGAGAGATTATTTTATTGCTTTTTTTTGTTTATATGTGCATTTAACCTGCGGTTCTGAATATTTTTTTAAGTGCTTCCGGTACCTAAAAATTAGAAAAAATAGGTTTGATTTTTATATTTTACGTCGTTCTAGGTTCTGCTTCCAATCTTTTTCTTGCCATTTTGTTAGAAGGTGGGACGGGAATTGTTCCGCAGCCGGTTTTTGGAAAATTACAAAATGGATTGCTGATTTTTCGTTTCCGGTTATTTTATTTTAAGCCTTTTCTGTTCAAGTTTCTAACTGGAACTTCCGATTTTGTAAGAAGTTGAAACTTGTTCCGCAACCGCTTTTTGGAAAATTTCAATGGGTTTCTAGGTTTTTTTGCTTCCGGTTCTTATATTTGTCTTGGTTCAGGTTCATAACTCCGGTTATAACTTATAAATGCACATAAATATAAATAGAGTAATGTTCTTAACTATAATATTTGTTTTTCAAACAAAACATATAATATTTATTTTTTTAGGATATCGAAATTATTTATTCACATTTGAAACTTTCTGGAATATTCGATAAAACTCTGGTAGATCCGAGCGTTCAAGATGTTTGCAAAAATGCCTTCTACGAAAAACACGGAGCCAACGATATACTCTATTGGTAAACAATTTTTTTTATCCCCTTACACTCCCTAAGCTAAATAGGGATGAACGAGAAGACCTAGATATGGCAGCCGATGCATAAATACCTTGCATATAGTAGGAATCACTTTTTGATATACTTGAAAAAATTCTTGAGAATCCTAATTTTCCTTATCCATTTTTATTTTATATTTACACTTAATCTTGAAACTTATTTTTTAAATACTAAATCATCATTCCAAGATGTGCATGCTATAGGTATTGATTGCCGAATTCCAGGTATCTTGCATATCTAATTTCAAAGCGAATTTTTATAATATAATTGATTGTTCCTTGATTTTAAAAAATATTTTTTTTGAATTTTATTTAAACTAATAGGAATTAGATTTTCACATTTAGTACTTAATTGTTTCAATGTCAAAATTATTGGTCTTCTTTAATCTAATCTAAAGATAAAATTCTTATTCATCCTCCGTATGTTTCAAACTTTATAAATTTTTACTATATTATATCCGTGCTTCCAAAGAATAAAAAAATATCTTTGCTCAAATCAGATAAATATTTTTATGCCTGCACACACTTTTTAGCCCTTTATTAGCGAACGCCACTAATTTATAATAGGGCACAGGTATCCTACTGGCTTCGCCCGGGTGCTTGAAAAATATTTCGCCCTGCGACAGTTTGGAAAAATTGAACATGGCCTTGGCCTGCTGATCTTTTTAAGGATTTATAAGCGTATGGAAATATTTTATGATAAATCGAATGATACTTTTTTTTTGAAAACAGCGAAATATTAAAAAAAATATTTTTTACGCTTGACGTATAAAACATTTCGCATTTTTTTCATTTGTCATTTTTTTAAAATTTATTTTTGATGAATAAATTTTTTCTCCTCCGTAAAATGTCATTCGAACAAAAAAAAACTGTACTTTACTAATGTTAATATATTTCACGCCTAATAATTTTTTTTTCTCTTCTTAATTTCTTGCAATATTAATAGTATCCATATATTCTTGTAGTATATTTTTATTTAAGCTTGTCCGAAATAGCAAAAAAATAAATTCGCAATAAAAAAAATCGAAATTTTAATGAAAATAAATAAATACCCTTATTTTAAATATAAAAAATAAAAACATGTCCAAAACATAATTTCTAAGAAAATTTTATAAATTTAAAAATTTTTAACATAACAGATTTTATTAAAATTTTAACATAACAGATTTTATTAAAATTTTAACATAACAAGTTTTATTAAAATTTTAAAATTTGCAAAAAGTTTTGAAACTTTTCGATTTTTTTAAAAATGATTTTGGACGCAACTTTATAAAATCCAAAAATATAATTTTTAGTCGAGGAGAATACAATAATTGCTGGTACATTCTTTTATCCGGGAGCGTTTTCATAGATGGGCTCAAACTATCCCCGAACAATAGGTAAAACTGATTATTTTGATTATTATACGGTTCTAACTTCACTTTTGATTAATTAAGGTCCCCCAAAATTTAATTTTAATTAAATCAATGACGACTCCCTGTAAAAAAAATTGATCGAAGTGTAGTTATTATTTAGTAAGTTCGAAACTAACCGTTTTTTATGGAAAAAGGGGGGAGGGCTAAATTAAATAACGGTCTTTAAAACTGAACACTATTTTAGGAATGATATTTTTTAAAAACCCATCTAGATACCAGTGAAACGACGCTGGTCAGTCATGAAAAATATATACACCCAAAATCGCAGTCGCTTCGCAGGTATATCTTTGGGTAATGACTAATTAGTTCAATTCTACAGGCCCGTTATAGCATTTAGCCCGCTAGTTTTTTTATTTATGCTTTCTTCGAAGTTGAATAATATTCTTCAAAAAACGAGGGATAATAAATTTTGGTAAAAAACTAAGGTTAGCTGTCTTTTTAGCCTTCTAAAAATAGAGCCTTCACCCAACTAGACTAACGAGACCCAAAACGCTATAAGTGTAAGCAGGTTCAAAGTTTTTAAAACGGGGTAATGCACCATAATATTATTTTCAACAACTATTACAAAATTTTTTAGTTTTGGCAAAAGAATCCTGGGCTCCAACAAAAGGACTAACGAATGCGTCGTTTTAGAAGATTCTGAATTATTACTAGTAATTATAAAATTTATTTATAATAATTAAAGACATTGTTTCATAGGTTTTTATTTATAGGTCCTTTTGACCCTGGGTTGAAAATTAAAGTTAATCAACCTGAAGCTTGTGAAAGTCAACCATGATCAGTTCAGACCGCCCCGCTCCATAGTTCTATAAAATTTTAAATAAAAGTGGTCGCAGATAAAATAAATTAGGCTCTATTTGTGTTTCTAAACTAGATCTGAATTTATCAAATCGCTTTCGGAATGTAGGGCGATTTAAACAGGGCTTGGTTGGCCTTCACTAGCAAGCAAATTTAAAAAATTTAAAAATTAATAAATATTACAAGATTAAATACGAAGATAACTCCAAATTTAGCTACCCGCCCCATCGCTCGATGAACAGCAGTGCATTACCGAGCGATAATTTTTCTTTCAATTCATTGGGGCGTCGCAGATGCATAACCCGCCATTCCACCAGTGACTCTATCAAGAAAAATTTGAATTCTACTAGAGACGATATCCTACTGAACCTCCGCGATCTACTAACAGAGTTTGTTTTTAAACCTCAAATGATAATATATTGAAATATTCCTGTAGTGAATATCCAATCTGACCATTATTAAAAATTGAAATGTTGATTACTTTAGAGGTTCCCTGTCTCTTTTTAAAATTATACAAACTTAAACACATTTTTTATTAAGACATATTTGCCCCTTATAAATAAAACCACTCCACTCATTAAATATATTCTTTTATTATTATAAATTGAGGCATGCATAATATTTTGTTGTAAAGTAAGAATTTCTACCACGGTCTTTGACCAGACAGATACACCCAAACTGGACCGCACCACGGTCTTTAAAAAATTGATCCAGAACGTATTTCTAAAAAAAAATACTAGTTTTTTTAAATGTTTTTTGGTATTTTAAAAATTTTTTCATTTTTACCTAATTTAATTTTTGTTTATCGGGCATATAAGTAAAATGCTTCTTTGAAAAATTGCAGTTTTCATAATTGCAAAATAAAAATTATAAATTCACAAAATTAAAATAACTCCTTTAGGAAAATAACACAAAATGAAATATAAAAAAAAATTAGGTGAGTTCCGGACCGTAAAAAATAAAAAGACCGGTTGTCTTAAAAAAGATCTGTCCGGTTCCAGTCTAAGTTTTATAGGGCTGGGCCGCTAACCTTCACTACCTTAAAGTTACATAAATGAATCATTTGGTCATTTTTTCAAAATTTTTATTTTTGTAATACTATGTTATGTATGAATTTGTTTTTACAAAAGATGGGCAGGAAAATAGGTGGTAAATTTACTTCAATTAGTGGTAACAGCTATATCGATTTTTTATGCTTATCGCAGATAAATTAAAATATCTCGCCAATAATTTTATGTAATATATTTTTTTAAAAAAGAACCATTTGGTTAATATTAAATGTAAAAGCAACAAATTGGCTTTTGTAATGATTAATTTATTAAAATCATAATTAGCCTAAATTAAATTCTTTCATGTTTCATTCACAAATGTCTGTCATTGTAAAATAAAATTTTTACGAATTCCTTTTTGATTTGGTTTTTTTGTAGAGTTTTTAATTTAAAATTGAAATAATTAATTTAATTTATTTATTATTCTGAAAATAAATCATACTTTTTGTGGTTACTCAAAAAAATTTAGCAAAACAACACTCAACATAATTTAGAATAATTATTTTATAAATAAAATTTAATTTTTTTTTTCTGGTTAGATTTATTTTGATTAAAATTTTTTAAAATACATTTAATGATTCACCATTTTATATAATTTCTGTTAACTTTAAAATAACTATTAATAAAAAATATTTAAAAAAAATTATAATAAAATGTATTTTTAATTTTTATATTTACAAAAAATAAACGAATATAGCGAAACGCATTCAAATAACTTTTTATCGGACACTCGAACAGATTTATCGTTAGATCTCAACGGTTTCATGTCAATGAATCAGGTTTATAATATAAAATTTTATTATATTTTCTTAAACGACTTTTAAATGATTATTATAGTCAAGCTGTCGTAAAAAATCTTGTAGATTTAGCAATATTCTATATTATTTAGGCCCACTAAAAAAAACCTTTTTTTTCTCGACCTCTCGAGATTCTCCTCTGGTTGTAATCATAATTTTTTAAACTCCCTCGAACGCTCAAAAAAAGATTATGGCTCCTTTTTAATTATTATGAAGTTTAAAAGGGCTCGTAGATTTCGCGGAAATAATAGTTAAGAGCTATTAAGGGGCGTGCAAACTTATTGTAATGAGAATAGAAAATGTAATTTTTTTAAATAATTTGTGCTACCTACCATTCTTTTCTTATTTAATTTTTTATACATAAATAGTCCAACAGAGACTTATCAGAACTGGATTGCGTCGACAATTATCAATCTAACTCTTCATTTTTGCACTCTTTCCAAACAGCGAATAAAAACAATTTTGACCTTGTAGGTCAGGTGCTTATGGATGATAAAACCTACGATGAGCCCTTTATAGAAAATTCCAATTTTTCCGATGTCATTAAAAATGTAATTTAAATTTTGAAAAGATATTATATTTTAAAATAAATAATTAAATATAAATCATCATCCTTATATTTTGTTCCTCCTAGTTAAATTTAGCATTTGTTTTCATTTTGGAATTGTCTAATAATTACTTCAAACTTCACATGTCCATCCCCATCTTGCTTAACAATAATTTCAACTAGAATTTATCAAAATATATCCTCATATTCTGGAATATTTACCTAGAGGACACAGGGGTAGGCATACCTTTAAAAAAAAATTATGTTTAGCATATAATAGGCTATAATTGTTGTGTACTAACTCTTGATACTAATTAGATTAACATAATGCAAGAACAATTATTTGAAAATATATAAACAGACAACTCAAAACGATTCAGTTTACAATACCTTTTCGCCTCTCAAACTAGCCCTTAGGAATTGCTTAGAAACCCATAAAACACTTAGAAGCGCAGAAGAACTCGAACTAATTTCTCATTGTTTGCTATTCCCTTCGTTGAATTACGATACGAATTACCACGAATCTAATTTCCCTCCTCCAGACGTAATGCCTATAGCCCTAGCTCTTAAAAGGGCTTATTTTAGACAAATTTACCCACGAATCAAACACTCTCAATTCGATAAAATGGACATAATTAAAAGGGATTACCAAAAATTTGTGGAATCAGTGTGCAGAGAGGCTATTTTAGCCGAAGTACCTAATATTAATACCGTAGTATTGAGCTGTGGAGAACAATTGGATAGTTGGTGCCTGATTTTTAATGGCAACATAGAAATTGAGTATATAGACGGTAAGTTAGTATTATAACATAATTATGGTATGCATTTTGAAAAAAAAACCGAAACCTTTGCTAATAAATATTAAAAGAAATTTTGTAGGGAGATATTTTAATATATAATATTGAATGCAAATAATTTAATATAATTATTTTCAGTAATACCAAAACAAATATTAATGGATAATCAACCCTGCTTTGATTCTTTCCTATATTTTTTTATATTAACAATAAAAACCTATTTTGATTGTTAGTTATATTTAGATTATTTATCCTTTAATTTTGAAATATCAGTAGGAAATTTTTTAAAGTTTTGCAATTATTAAATATTTTAGTTAAAATAAATTTACTTTATTAATTGAGGCAAGGAGGATTTTTTTTAAAGCTAAGGAATGAAACAAAAGAATATTGTTTTTTAATTAAAATCAAGTGATTAAATATTAAGGAGCTTGATTAGGAGCTAAGATCGGGGGGGGGGCAAAAAACTTCGAGTGTTGCAAAAATATTATAATTCTCAGTTTTTAAGATTCGTATTACTCTTTCACATTCATTCATTCTTATAATTCCAATTATCATTAAAATTAACCTAAAGATCAAAACGTATCTCAACACCTGATGCTCAAGCCTGGCGATTATTTCGGCGTGCGTCCAAATCTTACTTACCAATATTTTAAGGCTTCCATGCACACCCTTACCCCTCTTTGTTCCTTCATTTGTATAGGTCAGAACGATTATTACAAAATAATTAGAGAATTCGAACTAGTAGATCGCGATGATCAAGAAGGAGATGCTTATATCGAAAATATTAATAACAATATTAATTCCATTCATAATGATGACAACTTTAAAGCATTTTGCGATTCGATAGATATAGATCTTTTCCAGAATGCCACAGTCAGCCCTGACACCATGGATTATGATCGTTTCATAGGAGAGATCGAAGATACGGAGTTAAAACTTATACCATAATATATATGCTCCTTTTAATTTTGATATTATTTTTTTTTAGTTTTAGAAGCTTATTTTCACATTAATAGAAATATATACAATTATACATTATAAATAATATAGAAGATTTTTTTATATGGTATTTTAAAAAATAGATAAATATAGAATTATTAGATTAAATAATAAGCAAACGAAATATTAAAAAAATGAATAAAGAAAAAAAATCTACATTATTTTACCCCAATTTTTTTTCTTTCCAAAATATCCGAAAAGTGCGCACAGTTTTTTGGATGAAAGTTGGGACGATGCTGACGTTTTTTCCAACAACTCCGAAAATAAGCACAGCCAAGCAACGAACCAATTCCATCATCATCAACTAAGCAATTATTTTGGAGAAGATTTTGATCGTTCCCTGTCTAATGCCTCCAACGATGGGGGACTCGCTATACCTATCGACGACGACACCCTCTGCCACGATAAGAAGAGCTACCAAAAGGAGGAGAATACTCCACTGACCTCCTGCAATCACATTAATAAGGTGATTTCGTCAAAAAAATCTATTACATTTTAAGAATCAGATTATTATAATTTGAATATTTGAATCGAACATGAGTATTTAGATTAAACCTCGAATATCCGCCTGGACTAGTGTTGTTAAAAGGCTTGAGCCGATTTTTTAAAACAGCTAACTCAATATTTTAGCCAGAAAAAATATGCCTAAGCCTCGAGATTTCTTTAATATATGTCTATACCTTTGCTCCTTCTATGAAAAAATCTTCAGGCTTGCGTGATATTTTTCTGGCTGAAATATTGAGTTAGCCGTTTATAAAAATTGGCTCAAAACGAGCCATTTCACAACACTACTTGGGACTTAAAGTTCGCCACACATAATACATTATGATTGATTAATAAATGCTTCTTTTTTTAAAAATATTTAGACATCCTTTGAAACTTGTGTAGTGAAATATAAAATATTTTAAGCATATATAGCGTGCTTTAGATCTCCCTCCCCAGTGATAAACACTATTTATCTTCTAAAGTTTACAATAATCGATGTGTTTTTTTCTTATATTTTAATATTTGTAGGGTACTGTATCTGAATTGCTCGATCTTTTGATAGTCGAGCAGAATGCTGCCGGCAAAAATAGTTCTTCCTACATCAATAATTCGTCGCACACAAGTTACATCGAAAATTTCTTGTTGACTTATCGCATTTTCATTCGGTCTCCGCTCGTTTTGACAACTAGGCTTGAGGAATGGTTCGTAAATTTCCCCGAACACAGAGAAAAAGTATGACAAATATTCGTATTTTAAAAATAGATGGGTAGTATTGGTTTTAGAGATCGATCTGATCTGATTTTACCTATATTAAGCTGATATCAGCATATCCCCTATATTAGTGTTGTTAAAAAGCCCGATTTGATTAGCCAAAATAATATTGTATAGGTCTCAAGATTTGGCAAGTTGAAGTTCAAATCTTCCAGCCATCTATAAGCAAAATCACCAGGCTTACACAATATTATTTTGGTTAAAATCGAATAGAATCGGTCTTTTTAACAACACTACCCGATATCCACCCATTTTATTTTTACGATGTAGCTTTAAAAAAAGTTACTATAATTGGTATCTTCCTAATATTTGAGTTAACGCACCTTAGCTATGCAGTCATGATTATGAATTTACTGGGAAAAAAATAAAAAGCTGTTTTGTTTTTTAATTTTAAAAAATTTTTTGTTTTTGTTTTTGAATGTGTATATTTGCTTTTAAATTATTCAAAAAAAAGATTGAAGAATATTGGTATTGATATTCAAAATAAATTTAACCTACCATGGATTATGGATTTAAAAAATAAGAGTATCATCTAAAAATATAATAAAATCGGGTTGATTTGTAATAACTGGATATAAAATTTTTTTTGGAGATTATTATTCTTCCCATTTTTGTAATTAAATCAAATTAAATTTTTCCTTTATTACCGAATGCAGTCATCCTTAAGATTTTTGACTTCGTTTGTTCTAAGTGGTAGTGGGTGGCCAAATTACTTTTATTATAATAAATTTTTAGAAATATATTTGGTTTTAATTATATTTAACAGTCAAATCTCCCTAAACTGACGACTCAAGGATTGTTATGTTTTGGTTAACATAGAGATATCTAATATATAGAACGCCAGATAAGAGCCACTTTTAAATGTTTAAGATTTTTTCTTATGTTGGAATAGAGCATTCTAGTCAGAAATCTACTAGGATACTTTTTTAGGATTTGTAAAGTATAGATATTTTGATGAAGATGAATATGCATTGTTATATTTTTTTTTATCTAATTCTATTTAGAATTCTAAAAATAAAATACTACGTTTCGATGCACCTCATCGTTATTAATTGAAAGCTACATTTTTGTATTTAATTTTTCTATAAAAATAGGCGAGCAGAATTCTACTCTTATGGGTCAACAACCATTTTAGCGATTTTGAAAAGATTCCTAAAATGATGGAATTTTTAGAAAATTTCGAATCCTTATTAGAGAAACAAGTAACAACATTTTTTTTGTTACAAGAAATTTTATCCTATTTAAAAAAAAATATATAAATGAATTTAAAATAATTTCTTCTTAAGTAATAATGCCCCCAAAATTTGCCTTTTTGTCCACTACATAATAACAAATAGAAAATGCATGGACAATTAACGCTGCTAAACATGGCATGTTTTTCCAAGGCCAAAAATAGAGTCGTAGTATTGAACAGATCCTTGAGGGACGACATTCTCCATTTTTCCATTTTGGGTGGATGGGAAAGAAATTCTCCTATCTTCATATCTAAGGTAGAAAAATTTTCTAGAGCTCACGAAATGGGACTCAAGAGAGGCGACCAAGTTTTTAACCATTTACGATTATATCTAACGATAATATTTTCTTTAAAAAAAATCCTTATTAGAAGCTCCCGATTTTTCTTTTTTATATTAAAATCAGATTTTTTTTAAAAAAATGTTGATTTTTTTTTGAAAACCCGAATCAGGTATTGGAAGTTAACGGACAAAATTTTGAGCACATATCCCACACTCACGCTTTAGATATATTTCGGAATAGCACTCACTTGTCTATCACCGTAAAATCAAATATTTTAGGTACTTTTTTTAAAAAAAATAATAATATATGTTACTTGTCATTTTTTTTTAGTTTTGATTTATCTCAATCTATTTCTTATTTATTTATTTGAATATTGATTAAGAAGATCATTTTTTTACAAAATACAAATAAAATTTAAGGCTTCAAGCAATTCTTAGACACTTCGGCATCTTCGGGTTCTCCACATAGGTCCATTCCAATTACTCATACCCACACTCAACAAATCTTTAAAGTGAAACCACAATCTCTTTCTAGCGATAATTCGATCGTCCAAAAATTTTCGAACAACTCCCTCTTCAATAAAACAATATCGTCAAATTCATTGGGTGGACCCAAATTTTTGCTCGCATCCATGTGGAAGGATAAGAAATGCAAGTTCAAAAGGGTTTTGTTGAATCAAACTACCTCTAATAACAAAGCTAATGCGAATATTGTTCTTGGAAATGATACCAACAACTTAGTAGAAAACAGAAATACTATCAGCGTTTCCCACAAAGTTAGAAGAAAGTCTGTGGCTTCGGTTAGCGAAGATATAGTGGATTGCTCTAGGTTGATATAACAAATTAAGAGAGTTGCTGATATAAAAATATATTATATCCCTTATTGCTTTTATACTAAAAAAATGAGTGGACTCCCTGATTTTTTTTTGTTCATCAAATAGAGGTCTGCAATGGTACCCGTCCCGTCCAACTTTTTACTCGGTCTAGCCCAGTTCCAATTATTGCTAGAGTTGCCAGGCTCTGCCCGGTTTTTAAATCCAGAAATATATCCTAGAGAAAAATAACAAATAATGATGAGGATTACGATTTCACGAATTTCTTATTATAACAATAAACACTGAATGTAGGAAAAGGAAAAAAGAAATCGTATTTGTGAATGAATGATTATAGTAGCAGGTCATGTAATTATTTAAATTATAAGCTCAATAAAATATATTATCAACATAATTACAAGTAGTCTTTAGAATTTTTTTTTATCTTCTATTAAGCGTGCCCGGCATTTCTACTTTTTGTACCCGACCCTGCCCATTAATTTTTTTTGTCCTGCCCTAATATATTTTTTCAAACGTTATCTGGCAGGGCATTGCAGATTTTTAATCAAGTATTAAAAAACTTTTTTTAAGGGAGTTTAATATAATTCGATTTTGAAAAACAACTAAAAAGCACTTGATATGATTGAATTTATATTTTTTGAAGGAAAATAAATTTTACAAAAATATTGGGAGCTTTAACAAAATAGATAGTTACAAAATTTTTTTAAATTGAAGTAGATTGTAATACTGATATAAAGAAGAGGTTATTAAATGACATTCTTTTAGTTTGATCATATTTTATATATAATAATAATCTAAGCTCTCCCCGCCAAATTGAAGTCAGCATTCCATACATAATACATTACGTTCTAATTTTATATTGAAGGGGGGGGGGCTTTATAAAATTTAACCTAATATTTAGTTTTTTATATTTGAATAAACAAGAGTGCATAAATAATAATTTACCTTATGATTTATGTAAAATGATTCTTTATAATTACATTAAAACTGTATTTATACATATTGAATAATTGAAAAATAGCTCTTCCCCATCCATCAGTTCTAATTCCAATCATTCCTCTCATCACCATCTAACGCACGAAGCTAACAAGATTACTGAAAATTTAAAAAAAGTCTTGCATCTTTCCTCCAAAAACTCTTCACCTAAAGATAGTTCTAATATTTTTCGGTAAATTATGATTATTTTAAAATGTAATTAAACACATAGTATATTCATCACAAATAATTTTAGGAATGGTTATATTTAAGACTAGATAGATGTTATAAACGATAATTTTAAGGAGTAACTTTTTAAAAATTTATCCAATATTTTAAAACTCACGACGCGACATTATGATATTTGGCGTTCTGGACTGTCACACAACACGGCATCTTAATTTAAAATATTTTTTTCGGATTTGACTTGAACTTTTTTAAAGTCGGATGGCGACTCCGAGCAAAAAAAGTCGAGTTGGATTTTGCGAGGAGGAGAATTACATGTTAGGGCGTTAATAATATAATATAAAATCAAACCCGAAATTATTCGTTATATATATAAAAAAAACATTTGAAAAAAATATTGTATATAAAAGTGAACGAGATAATAATTCGCGTAAATAGGTATTTATAGATAAATTTAGAAACGCAGCAGATTCTTTTAAAAAAAATGATACGCATGCTCAAACCAATAATGGCCTCTTTAGGGAGGAGCAAAAGCTTCTCTCAGCCCGTCATAATTAAATTTGAGCGCGCCTAAAATATTCCCCATATGAAGCAAGCAGTGATCCGAATTATAACGAATATCGGATTGGTTCTGGTTTAGTTTCAGACATAAATAACGGTTCAAGTTTAGTATTAACCTTTAAAAACCGGTTTGAATTTTATCACATCCAACCTTATTCAGACATGTAAATTGAATCACATCTTTTAAAATTTTGTGCCTATTCCAAAAAAAAATATTGAACAATTAAAATATTTTTAATATTCTCTTCTGCTGAATTCTATTTTATAAGGAAAAGAAATAAGTTACATGGTTGTGAACACTTATCTATGTTAACCTGGGTGGTTGGCATAGTGAAAAAGCAATATACAAATATATAAATATACTTTAGATACTATCCATCCGATTATTAATATAATTTTTAAAAGAGCTAGGATATCAAAAAGTTCAAATCTGTTCACAGACCTTTTCAGAGTTCAGGTTCAGGTGATAAATTTTTAACTGTTTAGATTCTGTAAATAATAATGGTTAATACCGGGTTATAGGTTTTGTTTGGAGTCCCCTTAAGCACTCCTTAAATCGATTAGTTAAATGATGAGGCCACAGTAAATGGTCCCCTCCTTCCACAAACAGGGCATTAAGGTAGCTAAGTAAAATACAGGGCAGTGACTTTCATTATTATTATTATAACACTACTGAGATTAATATTTCATTAGACGCATATAAACCTATTTATGAACCACCAAGGTTTAATTTATTTAAGATCCTCCATTTTATTAATGAATAAATAATCATTTAATTTCCATGCCTTTTAGTACTCCATCTTACTCAGAAATGATTTTATTTATTTTCAAGTTATTCCTTGTCTTCTTCTCATAATTCCTCGTGCCCCGACGATTACGATTGCAAAAAAGACCAGCAATCCGACATCTTGACTCTCGAAAATTGTGATAGTTACAAAGATCGCCCAAAGATTTTTATAAAAAATTCCCCACAAAAAAATGACGAATTAAGCCGCCAATCATTATCCTCAAACGCGAATAGTATAAATCTGAGAACGAATTCTTCTTACGGGATTGATGCCTCAGCTTACCCGGAACACGTCATAAAAGTTTACAGGAGTCCCAAAGATCAGGCTTACAAATTCTTATTGATTCACAAAGTATTTATATCTTAATATCATTTTTTATGTCAGGAAAATAATAAAATTAATTTTTTTTTTGTATTTAAGGTTTTTCTTGGGAAATATCGAACTCTTTTTTTTACAATAAAAAAATTAATAGGAATATACATCGGTCCCATTTATTTTCTTGTCATTTAGATGGGCTAAAATGTCAATTTTTTAAAAAAATTTTAAGCCTTCAATGGATTTTTTTTAAAGCATAAATATAATTAAGAAAAATCTCAATTTTACATTTTAAAGGAAACGACAGCTAAAGAAGTCATTATGCTATCTCTCAGAGAATTCGGGGTTACAGATCCTAGCAGGTATCCGATCAATCCTATCTTAAATATTAATTAAAAATCCGTCATTTTTTATATTATAGCTAGCTATGACATTTTATCATATACAACCTATTTGTATCTTTTAAATCCATTTTATTACAATATTAAATTAAAAAATAAAATTAAGTCACTACTCGTTATTCGAAGTTTCTGTTCAGAACGGTGGAGTATTGAAAAGGAAAAGACTCCCAGAACAACTCAATAATTTAGCCGATCGAATAGGATTAAATGCTAGGTACAAATTTTAGTTATACTATTTTTTTTTCTTAGGATAAATCAAAAAAAAATAATTCATTTTTCTAACTCATTTTATGTTTAACACAATCTTTTTTTTTAATCTCCGCCAAAAAAACAGAACTGAAAAGCAGATATCCCATTAATATCCTCATTTTCTATCCATTTTATCTCCAGAATAAAGGATTTGATTTTTTTTATTATTTTTTTTCTTGCATACTCTTGCATTCACAGTTAGCGCGAATTCCCGTCTTAGTTAAAAAAATTAATGTAAAATTATTACATTTCGCGCTAACTGTGAATGCAGGGATATGTTTTAGGTTAAATGTGAATAAAATACATGATAGAGATTTATATATTTATTATTTTTAAAAAAAAATTAACCAACTGACCAGATACTACATCAAGAAAAATTTTACTTCTATCTCAGCCCAAAGTCAACCAATAACTTCCACTATTAACGGCCATCTAAATTTTAGTTCTAGCAACGCCCCCTATGATCAAAGCGTAACCAATAACGAAATCAACGCATTTAAAGAGGATCAGCAAAAGAATGATTGCAATTCCAGCGATAAAGCTCTTGCTTCCGAGCTTTTAACCGAATCCGGGTTAACCATTAAAAATGCCGGGACACCTCAGGGTAATTACCTAAACCCTTTTTTTCATATACGGGTTATTCCATGTCAAATGAGCAAAAAAATCAAGATTTTCGGCCGACCCCTTTCAATTTCGATAAAAAGTTGTAGACTGGTTATATATGTTCCCATTAGATTATAAACAAAATTTTAGCGCATTAGCAACTATATTAGCCGAGATAATCGTTAAAGGTCCAAAAAATGTCTTTTTTTGCTTTTTACTGATGTCAAATAATTAGTTTTTAATTTAAAACTAAATATGATCAAATATTGAATCTAATATCAATAGCTAAGTTAATAATTTATGATTATGGCGAAAACATCAAAATTAATTTTTTATAAAATATGGGTCATCTTATGGTCAGTTGAAAACTTGAAATTAATATTTCGAAATGTATATGATCTCCGATTTTTAATTTTTTTAAGAAATATTATCCGTTTACTATTTTTTTAATAATTTCTTCAACAATTAGCATGGCTGGATATTTATTTTAAAAAATATTGCGATTTTTATACTTTAAAAAAAATAAATGGCGCTATATATAATAGTTTTAATATGTTAAAATTTATTTTTTTATTGATTAAAAATATTTTAATGTATAATATATCATAAAATTCGATTATATAACTTTGTAAACCTTATTCCCCTGAGATATTCGCAGGATAAAAAATTTTAATAATTTTTTTAATATTTCAATGTAAATTAAAAATAATTAAAAAATCCGACTAACATGCGAACAAAAAAGCAGGATTAAAGGAGTGCAGGAAAATTATTAAGGGAAAAATTGAAAATCATATAATTACCCGGCCTACCCTCCACCCCCCCCCCCCTCCAGACTAAGTCATACCCATCAAGACCAAGAATGTTATAAAATTGTCATTAACCAGAAAATTTCAAAGATTTTTTAAAAAATTTTAAGCGATATAATTAACAAAAAATTAACTAGTTATAAAATTTTGGGTATCAAATGAATTTGAGCATTCTCTATAAAATTTTTGATCAGTCTTTGAATTTTGAGCATATGTTTAACACTGAAAAAATTAAAAAAAGTAAGTCAGCTGTTTTTATTTTTTCTTAAAATTATTAAAAATAAACTGATTAGCAAAATTAATTAGAGAATTTAATCGATAAATCACAGTTGCTAAAAATACAAATTGATTTCTTTAATATTTTTTCACAAACACCGATTCATATCTTTTACATATAAATATTTTTACTTGTCGTTTAAAAATAAATAAATTTTTTTAAATGAAACCCTTAAAAGATAAGATAAAATGTTGCAATCCACTGAATAAAGTTAATCATAAAAATTTTTAAAAAAAATTAAGACCAGTTCTTCGATGGGTGCTTAATATAAATAATCATTTATATCTTCAACAAAAAATATGTAATTCGTGCCGATACCAGTTAAGTAAAATTGGTCCACACATTCCCGAAGAATTTATATCCCCAATAACCCATAATCAGGATGCCTTTGAATCGATTAATGAAACATTACACAATATTGGAGAATCACCAATTAAAAGAAAACGTTTAATGGAGAAAAAATATCCTAAAAATAAAATTCAAAAGATTGAAAAGGCAATAAAAAGTAAGGTTTTAGAAATATCTGATTCCGAGATTGATAGTCCAATGAAAGAGGAAATTCTTATTATATTAAAGGATAACTTTGATAAATTATCAAAAAATCAACAATATCAAATTCTTACAATTTTGCCTCAAAGATGGAGTGTAAATAAAATTTAAAAGGAATTCAACGTAACATCATACATGGCAAGAAAATCTAAAATGATGGTAAAAGAAAGTGGAATTCTTTCATTTCCAAAACATAAGGCAGGAAAGACACTAAACGAAAAAACATTTAAACTCGTCAAGGATTTTTATAGTTCTGATGAAATAAGCCGACTCATGCCAGGAATAAAAGATTGTGTATCTGTTAAAGGCGAGAAAGAACCAGTTCAAAAAAGACTTATATTAAATAATCTTAAAGAAATATTCAAGATGTTTAAGGAAGAATACCCAAATATATCAATTGGATTCTCTAAATTTGCCGAACTTAGACCAAAAAACTGTATTTTACACTGTTTGTGTCTGCGCTATTCATCAGAATGTGAAATTAATGACAAATGTAATAGCTGAAATTACAGCAGGAGAAGATTACTGTATAAATTCTTACAACTATCTATTGGCGCAAATTATTTGTAATCCATCTCAGCCAAAATGTTATTTAACAAATTGTGATCAATGCCCTGGTATAGAATCTCTTAAGGGACAATTATACCAATTGTTTCAGAGAAATCGTATAGAATATGTCACGTTTAAACAATGGATCACGGTGGATAGAACAAATCTTGAAACTATTATAAAGTCCGTTGATGATTTCATCGATTATTTATTAGAAAAAGTTCAAATTTTACTGCGTCACTCGTTTATAGCTAAACAACAAAGTTTATTTTTGAAGAATTCCAAAGAAAATTTAAAAGATGGGGAATTTTTAACAATTCTAGATTATTCTGAAAATTATTCCTTCATTTTACAAGATGAAGTTCAGGTTTCATTGGAACAACGTGCAGGCCACTATACATCCATTTGTAGCATATTATAAATCTGGAGAAGATTTAAAAAATATAAATTTTGTTATTATATCCGAATTATTAAACCATAATACTAGTGCAGTCCACCTTTACCAAAAAAAATTTATTAATTTCTTAACAGCCAAATTTAATTCTAAACCAGAAAAAATAATATATTTTTCAGATGGAGCCGCGTCTCAATACAAGAATCGCAAAAATTTTCTGAACATATGCCTTCATAAATACGATTTTAATATTCCTGCCGAATGGCATTTCTTTGCCACTGCTCACGGCAAAAATGCATGTGACGGTATCGGGGGAACTGTCAAAAGATTAGTTGCCAGAGCTAGTCTTCAAAGGCCTAATAAAAATCAAATCCTAACCCCATTAGAATTATATAATTATGCTAAAGAAAATATTAATGGAATTCAATTTGAATATATATCCAATCAAGAATATATCGAAGGGGAATTAGCCCTTCGCAAAAGATTTAATTCTGTGCTGCCCATACATGGGACCTTAAAAATTCACGGGGTTATTCCCATTGATCAAAATAGACTAAAAACCAAAATATATTCAAATTCTAAAAAATATAATATAAAACAAGTTTCGTTTTTAAATGAAAAAATTATATTTAAAAATATTTATGGATATGTAACATGTGTATATGATGCTAAATGGTGGTTAGGATATATAATCGATAAATATGTTACAAATGAAGAAGTAAAAATCCGATTTTTACACCCTTGTGGACCTTCAGCCTCATTTAAATTTCCCCTGAAAGATGATATTTTAGTGTTACCTAAATCTCATATTCTTTCGCTGGTCAATCCTTCTACTCCCACCGGTCGAACATATATATTATCTCCTGAAGAAATCTCACAAGCTAGCCAGGCTTTGTGTTCCTTTAGATGAAGTAAGATTTAATTAATTTATAAACTATCTTAATTAGGCTAAATTTGTGAAGATTTTAAAAATTTATGATCTGAATTACAAATAAATATATATAATGGACATTGTAATCGATTTAGTATGATATATATACATTAAAATATTTTTAATCAATAAAAAAATGAATTTTAACATATTAAAACTATTATATATAGCGCCATCTATTTTTTTAAAGTATAAAAATCGCAATATTTTTTAAAATAAATATCCAGCCATGCTAATTGTTGAAGAAATTATTAAAAAAATAGTAAACGGATAATATTTCTTAAAAAATAGTAAACGGATAATATTTCTTAAAATAGTAAACGGATAATATTTCTTAAAAAAATTAAAAATCGGAGATCATATACATTTCGAAATATTAATTTCAAGTTTTCAACTGACCATAAGATGACCCATATTTTATCAAAAATTAATTTTGATGTTTTCGCCATAATCATAAATTATTAACTTAGCTATTGATATTATATTCAATATTTGATCATATTTAGTTTAAAATTAAAAACTAGTTATTTAACATCAGTAAAAAGCAAAAAAAGACGTTTTTTAGACCTTTAACCCTGAATATCTCCGCTAATATAGTTGCTAATCCGTTAAAATTTTGTTTCTAATCTAATGGGAACATATATAACCAGCCTACGATTTTTCATCAAAATCGAAAGGGGTCGGCCGAAAAGTGATTGATTTGACATGGAATGACCCATACTCCCTCTCTACCATTACTGTTGGTTTGAATACCTTTTTTTGCAAGTATTTTATATCATCAATTTACTTAAATTGGGCAACTTTATAATATAAAACAAATTTTTTGAAATAATATTTTGGTTAATGGTTCCTAATAGACGTAAAATAATTATCAATTATATATTTGTTCGATTTAATTTTCCTAATAAATAAATTTAAAAAATAGAAACCATCAGGGTCAGCTTGCTAACTCTCAAATGTTTTGAATTGGCCGTCCAATTAACTCTAAGAGATTTCGATAGCTTCCGAAAAATCGAGGCCGCCGAATACATCAATGATCTCTTCGGTTTAAATCGGCGATATCTCAATGATTCAAGCCATAGCAATAAGACCAACATTACCAAAAATGCAGCCCAAAATTCTGAAATAACGAATAAGGAAATGAATCATTTTAGCGATTGTAGTAGCGGTAGAATAGACATATCTAACAAACCTCTTTTTGAAGACATGGATGATGACATCATTGGGACTGTTGGTTCATTTTACAGTACCGAGAACCTGAATCAATTTGAAAAAGTCATTTTATTTCCCTTTCTCAACCCACTATTTATTTTTATTGAAAATCAAAAAATATATATGGCGTCTTTTAATTACTTTAAGTATTCAAATTCCCCATTTTGTCATTAGGGTTCACGATTAATAATAGTATTTGTTTGAACTTATATTTTTTCGTGGAGTTTAAATTTAAAAAAAAAACTTTCTAAAATCTATCACATATAAAGTCTATTGACAAAGAAATGTTTTGGGTCATCAACGAGGTTGTCTCCGAGACCAAAAGCTTGGTTAAACGTTATAAGAAAGTCAAATTTTTTCTAAAGCTAGCTCATCACTGCAAAGCCCTCAATAATTTTAATTCCGCTTTCTCCATTTGTTCCGGCCTTTGTCACAGCACCGTGTCGCGACTTGAAGCTACTTGGTCCCGTGTACCGGCTAAATATAAGTTTTTTTAAAGAGATGATTTATAATTAATATCATAGTGATAATGAAAAGGGGAGTTTTTTTATTATAGATTTCATAATATAAATTAAGGAAAGCGTATAAAACCTTTAACCAACTGGCGGTAGGAAAGATTTGGAAATGTTAAGACTTGAGTTGGAGATGGCATTAGGTAGATATGGGTGGTGGGGAGAGATGGGGTTCAGAGGGAGTGTCTAATCATCTTTTAAATAGATAAATAATATTAGAACTAAGATAAAGACGAAGTGATTTATTTATTAACCTTAATGAATAATAAGCCTACAAAAAAATAATAGTATCGAATAATTATGCTATTCGTATTCGTACAAAAAATAAAATCAGTATTCGATTCGATTCGTCAAATATTCGATTATTCTAAAGTTTATAAAAAAAAAATTATAAACAGATTTGGATGTTTTAAAATACCTTTAATGATTCTAGTAAAACTACGCTAATTGTCATTAGTGTATCAAAATTTACAAAAAAAAACAAGCGAAATAAAACTCAAAGATTTCATAACCTTATACGAACAAATATATATAATAATATTAATATTTAAAAAAATTAATTAAATTATCATATATAAAACAATTAACTGTTTTACTTTGCGGCCTTCATTCTTTTAAACATCTTTATACAATAAAACTAGATTAACTTTAATGCAATTTTTTAAAATATTTTGTAGTAATATGAAATCAAAAAATAAAACTTATGAAGATAAAAAAAAAGAAGAAATAAAAATAAAATAAAGTAAAATGGAAAAGATCTACTTGGAAAATTTAATGATTACTTTATATTTTTACTTACGAATAATAACTTAAAAAAAAATAAAATAAAATTACGAATATTTACTAATAATTCCGAATAGTACTAATTTTGAATAATTCGAATCGAAAAAATTCATTCTTCGGTTAATATTTTTTCTCATTATTCATATTCGATTTGAATTTTCGAATCGAATTGTATTATTCCTATTCATAAAATACGAATCGAATAACGAATAATCCTTTAGGCCTAAAGAATAATAACTACCTTGATCTCATTTTTGTTCTTTCTAAATTTCTTCTAAAAGTTTTTTGTATAATAAGCCAAATATAAATTTTTTTAAATGTCGTTAATATTTTATTTTATTATGACATTTTTACCAAATATTTCATATTAGATGTATGCTAGAAGACCTCAAATCGCTTATGGATCCTAGTCGGAATATGGTTAATTACAGGACATCCTTAAAATCCGTCATTCATTCCCCTCCCATTATACCTTTCTTTCCTCTCTTCAAAAAGGATCTAACCTTCATTCATTTAGGCAACCCTACATACTTACCACCCAGTTCGGTTAATGCTGAAGTTCTCGATCGTATGACCTCGGAAACAAACTTAACGGGTATATTATACATTACATTGTAGCCATAATTAATTATCACGTGATGAGAATAAATTAATAACTAATGATTTTTTTTATTGGATCGCTTATATATTTTCTAGCCACCGTTTCTTTTTCTATGTACATAGTTTCTATTGCAAACTGGTTATTTAAAGGAAATTACAAAATTCTGATTAGGGGCCCTTGTTTATAGTTGATACTGTTTTTATATTTTAAGTGTGAATATTTCAGCCAATCATTCGATTTTAATAAATATACCCTATACTCATTTCACAGACAACGATAACAACACTATCAACATCGATATTGAACCAATCGTGAACTTTGACAAAATGCGAATGTTATCCAAAGAGATCGCTATCTTAGTTGATATGTGTTCAGTTCCTTTCGATTTCCGACAGGCATTAGACACGTACGGAGCCCATTCGTTGGCAACCAATTCTAGCATGACTCTTAATTGGTCCTCGTTCCCTCCTTTCTCCTCTTTTTCCACCTTTACCAATTCCGCCAATTGCGAAGAATCCTTAAAAAACACCTCCAACTTTCATCATAATAATTCTTTTTTTGGCGATACATTTGATAACAATGGAGTGCTAAATAGTGGCGAACTTGCTGGTAGCAAAGGTGGCATTAATATCAACAAGCAATTTGCTGGAGCTCTCAGCAGTCTTAAAAGGTGGAAAGAGGGCTACGGCATTAAAATTGCATCGGGTAAGTTTAAATTTTCGCACACATACATCATGTATCACCAGACCAATGGAATGCTCACCGTTTTTTCAAGATTTTTTTTATCGTTTTTGGGAATTGAATAATATAATTCTAAAAAAAAATTCCTCTATAAATTGGTTAAAATATGACTTGATCTAAACCTTTTTAGCAATTTAATTGGTAAAAATATAATATGATAATTTTTTTTATCCTGCTAGTTTTATGGGTATTGAATAATATAATTAATCCTTTGAAAATACTTTAAAAAACACATAATATAAAACAATTTAACGTCGGGAATTCATAGAAAACGAGATATATTTTTTAGTATTTTTATTTTTGGAATCGAGAATCATTATTTAATACATTATAATTGGACGTGGAAAAGTTTGATCGTCGACCATTATCTCCATCCACACAAACGCTTATACTTTTCGAAAGAATCATATTATGCGTATGAGTTGAGTATATTTGTTACACGAATATTTTTATAATGTATTAATTTAGAGAGAAAAAATCACTCCAGCTCCAGTGACGTATTCTCTTCCATTCCACCAATAACTTCAATCTCATCTAAAATGGTCAGGAGAAAAAGCCGAAAAGACAGAACATCCGCGTCCTCCTTAGAAACCTTAAATTTTAATTCAAATAACGTTAATGCCTATATGGAAACACCCAAAATTAATGATAATGAATCCATTCTAGATCAAGAGATCAAACTCAACGAATTCTACACTAATTCTTGGCGTCCCGCTCTTGTACAACAACCTCCGCCTCCCAACCCTCGCAAAATGTGGGAGAACGCGAGGAGAGTCAGGAGAACCAGGGCCTACCTAGTTTCCGCGTTGGATTCTCATTTAGATAAAGAGAGTGCCACTTCAGGGTTCGTCTCAGGCACAAATTTATCGCCTGAATTTTTATATTATATTCAATCTTTTTTTTAAAAAAAAATTATTATAATATTAATAAAAAATATATAAAATTTTAATTGTATAATTTATAATTATTTTGGTCTTCTCTCTACCTTTTAAATTTTTATGCCCGGCCTAGTCCGGCTTTTAGAATGTGGACACAGAACCTAAATGTACTTTAGTTTACGAAAATAATTTCCGAAATTTCTATTGAACACGTATATAAATTAACAAAATCCAGGCTAACCAGTTTGAATTCTTATATTTTTGACTTCCCTTTCATTTACAAAATACAGTCAAAATTATTTCGAATGACCAAATTTTAATAAACTAGGCCTGGCCGAAAAATAAAAAAAATTTATAAAGGGTTAGGCTGAATCTAATAGAAAGATTTTAAACTCAGACCTGAAAAAGAACATACCTCTGCAGGTCTCTACTATTTTATTATAAACAGATTGAAGCAAGGTAATTTTAAAAAAATGATAACGTTTTCTTTTAAATTTACAATTTGATGTAACTTAATTTTTTACATAATAATGAAAGTATGAATGGAATAATCGATGAAAGCGCTTTAGCACGTTTATCTCAACAGTGCGAGCCTTCTAACAACACAAATACCGCTTTGGAGGAGTCCAATGTTAGCACAAGATCTAGGGCTAGAAGGCTTAGATCACGTAACTTATCTGCTGGGGATGGATCCAATTCTGGCCAGCCCACATCTACAGATGGGTTCATATATTCTAATTTGTATTTTAGTTTGGATAATTAATTTTTTTTTTATTATTTCGATAATTTATCGGTTGCATTTGTAAAATCTTGTATAAAGAAAAATTAGATAATTTAGAACTTTAGTATTAAGCATTTTGCTACTTGTCATTTTTTTAATGTGCAAATTGTTAAGACATAATATAGACTAACAGTAGCAACGATCCCTAAAAGCCTGGCCGATCAGGAGTATTCTAGGTTGATAAGGTTTTAGTCCGGATTAAAGACTGGACTACGATCTTTAGACTAACGTAACTATAATTTGTAAACAATTAATTTATCAGGACTGTCGGATTCTTGAATAAAAGAGAAAGGGCCTTGAAAAATGTCGAAAATAGGAGCGCCGTAGGATTTAACAAGCTCAACCCAACGGGATTTTTATCCCACTTTGCGGTGACGAGAATGACACCTTCCATTCTAACTAATAAAAACCGTCAAAATAAAGCGGGTTGTACCAATAATAACAGTATTCAAAATATGAATCCCCCTACAATTAATAGAACTAGCACCATGATGCCTACCAATTACAAAACTACCAATAAACCAAAATGTCAAAATTATTCTCCCAGCAAAAGCCGGAATCATATGTTTGGTGAGTGCACAGTTTTATTATATACTATCACTTCTAATTATATTCAGAATATATTGTTCATTGAATAATCCCCCCAAAAAATATAAGTTGTAATAATTTGAATCATCGAAACCAAATTTTAAAACATAACAAGGTTTAAACCTTCAGTCCTTTAAGGTATCTAATTTTATTACTAATATTAAAATAATAGCCAAAATTATAGAAGTTTATAAACATTCACTCACTATGTTTTTCAGGTTCCAACAGTCCACAATCCATGCAAAAATTGCTTTCCCTATCCCAATCAACTAAATACAAAACAACTACTCTAAAAGTTAACCCTCCCAATTCTATTCCCCCCAATAATCATCCACCTCTTTCCTTGTACAAGCGTCCCATAACGACTCATCATGGTTGCATCAATGCAAACCACTCTTATCATAATAGAAGCTTCAGTACCGATAATGGCAACAATCATTTCAACAATTGTAATAATTACTATGCTCCAAAATATAATTTGGTAGATTCCTCCAACTTCAATCCCACCAACTCTTTTATTGATTTGGATAATTCGAATAATTTGGTCGTCAACTTTGATGCTATCAAAATAAAACAATCTTCTGTTCAACCATCTTATCCCACTTTGCGAGGCAATATCAAAGAAGATAAAACAAATGATGATACAGGTTTTTTTTGCTTATATACTTCTGCCTGTAACATTTAATGATTAAAATTATATATAAAAATAATCTTTTAAGGGATGGCCTTACATGTTGATTATCTCTATCTACTTTATATATATTTTAAACAAGATGTTTTTAAGAATGGAGGCGAATTTGTGCTTCGTCACGATTTGGATGGTTTGTCGAATAATCTTGTTGATAGTGAGACGGGGACCATTGGAGATGACACCGAATCTAATTTGTCGCGCACCAGTCATTGTAAAACTAAATTTGATTCAAAATATTTTGTTTATTTTAAAAAAACGTTTTAAAATTTTTTTTATGAATTTCAAAACCATAATTATAATTTGCCTATCAAGAGAATGAATTCTGGGTAATTCTATAACAAATCGATAACTTTTCGACACGACCTTTTTAATTTCGATTGCATACTGAGAGAATATCATTAGAAAGCATCGACTCCAAAATTAGCCTCCTAGTACTCATAGTTCCTGAGATATCAATGGTCAAGAGTGCCACAAATGACTCTTTTTCGAAAAATACCATTTTTTTAAATTGAGATAAGTTAAAAAAATAATAAAATAAAAATATATATCATTTTGTAACTCTATTAAAGGCCTTTTATTAAATATTAAGGATTTTTTAAAAATAATATTGTTAAGGTTTTTATTTACGTTATAAATTTTAAACATGAAAACTCCTGGTGTTTCGCTTTCCAAATTTTAATGAATTTAATATTTTCATATTCACTAACATTATATCTATTCATAAAAAAAATTTGAACTTGGGACAGCCATATGTTTTTAGTTATTTCGATTAAAAATAAATAAATATTTTTTTTCAAAAATAGATGGCGCTCCTTTATAAAATAACGCGTTTTGTTAAAATTATTATTTTTTAAAACTTTTTTCCATTTATAAACATAAGTAATAAGATTTTCCAGCTCGTGAAATAAGATTTAGCTGCGGTTGTAATAATTTTTTTCTTGAAAAATTCTAATTTTTGTAAAATTATTTTATTAATTTTGTAAATATAATAAATAAATTAAAATTCATGAAATATATTATCTATTTTCGGTTTTTCATTAAATTGAGTTTTTTTGACGCCATGATAATTTCGTTTTGCGATAATTATATGTAAGCCCGGTAGCCGTTGATGTAACTATTGTTAAAATATTATTTTTGGTATGAAAAGGAGATCTTATGCCGCTGGATAAGCAAAATAATTTGCTGGTCCTTAAGGGTGAAGAAAATTAATTTTTATTTCATCTCTAATTACATTCACTTCTTGTACAAATTCTAACCATACACACAGGTTACATATCCTCTAATCTCATTGATTAACAGATCCTCACGTGGATATACTATATTCTCCACAATAAATGTCTGCGAATTAGAATATAGTTTAGTGTTGAGCTTAGTTAAACCAATCGGAAAAAATGCGTGAATTTTTTGTGTCCCAGGTATTGAGATAGATTTACTATATCTCTTCCTCATACTCTGGTATGGTGGCATAAGAAAAATTTATACCTTTTTTTATAGCTTTTCCGCATATTTATAAAATTTTAAATATGTAATTATTTGATCAGTATAAGGTCTTTGTAAGCTTGCCTTGGCAACTAACCTTTTTACTGTGCCTCCTATGCCGTCGCAGGCACTTTTACTATGTGCCGTAATAAAAAAATGTCATTCTGCTTAAACACCAAAATCGATTTCATGGTAACAAACATTGATGAAGTTTTTCTTATTTTTATATTGCCCTGCTGAACCATCAGAAAAGTAGTGATTTTTTTCTGGTGGAGTGTCGAATTTATTTTAAAAAAATGAATCAAATGTGATTAGAATAAATGAAATGAAACAGCATTATGAATTAAGGATTCCGGTATTACCACAAAACTTAGATTCTTTATTTAATCTCCTATTTTATATTAAATTGAGAATGGATGCAACGTAACTTGCGAAGTTGTCCAGTGATAACCCTGAATTTCGTCTTGGACAATAAAGGAATAATTTTCTGAAAAGACACAAATAATTAGATGTGATTATTTTCTAAACTATTTTTAAGGATTGTGAAATGAACTTTTTTGTTCACAAATAAATGAATGGCGTATTAGAATATTCATTTTATCGAAAAAATAATGAATAAATTCGTCTGAAGATTGAGAAATAGTCTCCAGAGTTGTTCTACCGAAACCCACTGTTAGAGCTATATCATTTTTTATAAATAATTTTTCGGTGCGTTCTTTTAAGAGTGTCCAGCCTGGACACTAGTTGCAGTCACCAAAATAACAGGTTGCTAATCGGGGATTGCAAACCATTTTGCCTATAACATCTCTATAAGTTGTTAATATTATTTTCACGATTTTTAGTCATTGTTGCTAATTCACAGCCTAAAATCATAAGTTTAATATTCTGGTGTATGCTACAAACGCATACACTATATGTTCCGCTAGCCCCTGCTAATATACAATTTTCTGGTCTTAAGCTAGTAAATTTCGAAAATCCAATTGTTATGTTTGAATTACTCTCCTTAAAATGATTATACATTTCTTTTAAATTAATAAGAACTTTTTTCCAGCGTTCACTCGTTCCCTCTTTTCATTGATAGATATGACATCTTTATTCCTGGTAAAACCCTTCTAACTTCATCACTGCAAAATTTTATTTAAACAATATCAACTGTTTTTTGCTGAGATATTTTGCAGGCTTTCGATTTGGAGTTGAAAGAATCCTCTTTTCTTCTAAAATGATTTTGGAATTATATGCCATATGATATGTAGCGTTGAATTCCGTTTTTATTTGCACTCCAATTAGGAGGCAGAATGGTCAACAATTGATATTTTTTATTTTTAGATAAATTACGATATTTGTAATTTCATATTATTGAGATTCTTTTGTATCCGATTTTGGATTGTTAATAATTATATATAAAGAGATATTCCAATTTCATTTAAAGTTATATTGATTGTATCTATTGATGTGAATGCTGTGGTGATATTATTTACATATTCGTTATCAGAATTTATATTTTCAATATTTTTTTGTGATAAACGTTTACGACAATTATCACAAATATAGTGTTCCGCCTCATTTGGAAATTATGTCATCCATGTCATAACTTTACGCATAATAAAGTGTTTAGATTCTTTAAAAGATTTGCGCATTAACGCCATCTATTTTTGAAAAATATTTTTTTTTTATTTTTTTTTTAAATCAAAATAACTAAAAAACCTATGGCTGTCCCAAGTTTAAATTTTTTTCATGAATAGATATAATGTTCGTGAATAAAAAAATTAAATTCATTAAAATTTGGAAAGCGAAACACCTAAAGTTTTCATGTTTAAAATTTATAACGTAAATAAAAACCGCAACAATGTTATTTTTAAAAAATCCTTAATATTAATAAAAGGCCTTTAATGGAGTTACAAAATGACATAATTTTATTTTTGATTCTCTTTATTTTTAACTTATCTCAATTTTAAAAAATCGTATTTTTCGGAAAAAGATCTGGACCATTGATATCTCAGGAACTATGAGTACTAAAAGGCTAAAATTTTAGATTCGATACTTTTTTAATGTCCTCTCAATATGTAAAATTTTATCGGAATCAAAAAGGTCTGGCATTAAAGCTATCGATTTGATATGGAATTACCCTTTTGGCATTTGGAGATCGTTGAATTTTCATAAAAATAAAATTTAGAAGCTCAACAAGTTTTAATATTATATTAAAAATTACAATATCCTTTGTTTATTTTATCATTTTTATATCAATCAAAAACCAAAAGTATACTCCTCTCACGATTCACATTCCAGTTCTAGTCGAATATTTAGGAGCGTCGATTCCGGCAAGGGAAGTAGTGAATTGTCATTCTACTTCAACGGAACAACTAATAACCCCACGAACCTATCTTCCAAAATTCACCCTAAAAAATGCAATCTCAATATTTGCGACGCTACAAGTAATTTTCGTAAAAACGCTTCTTACCACCACAACCGTAACTTAAATTCTTCCCAATCCTTTTTTTCCTCGCAATGTGCAACCAGCTCGGGTTTCAGTATGGATGACACGGCCAATTTAAAATGTTTAAGTCATGTGTTTAAAAATGAAACAGAGGACGAAGGGTCATTGAATAGGAGAAGTTATTCGCCTGGTAAATAAATAAAGGATTTTTTAAATATTTTCTCACAGACCTGCTCCAGAATAGGCCTCAGTTATAATGTTAGAAATTCGTATCTTATTGATATAAAAAAAATACGAACCCGCGACAAGGATTAATGAATTATTTAACATTTATTCATTTCTCATATTTTCACGATGACCTTTAATACCCCCCAAATTTTTTAAATGACCAAATTAAAAAAGGGCCAACTGGGCCACTAAACAATAAAATTAAAAAACCAAATCGGACCTTAAAAAGAAAAAAACCTGGGATGTGCCAAAAATATATCTCTTTTAAATCCGGGGCTGGGTCTAAGAATTAAATTTGACATCTGCAATCTATCCATATTTTTTATAGTTATGACGATTTAAATAGATCTAGAAGGGTAAAGTAGAAGAAAAAAATGTGAGTTAACATGGGGCCTACCAAACCCATGTTATTTGTGTGAACCCTCCTTCTAAAAAAATGTTTCTAGCTCTGGAGGGTTTAGGCCTCGTAGTCTAGAAAAATAAAGACTAGTAGAAATAACAGTAAGATTAGTTTTTCTGAAAAATTTTATTTTACTATATTTAACATTCACCGTAAAAATAATTTATCATCATAATTTTAATTAGAATAATACAATACAATTTAAAAAATAATATTCTATTTGTTTTTAAAGTTTTATAAACGAATTATCATGATATCTTCTAAATTATAAAATTAAAATATCGATTTTTTTATGCCTACTTTTGGCAGTGCATTGCTTGCTACTTGCATTTAGTAAAACTATTTTACCTTGTGATTTTGTTCTTTTCTTAGGTCTTACTTTTTGATTTAATAATCCAACAAACAACAATAAATATTCCTAAAATAGATATTATTACATTATCTATTATAAAAAAAACTTACAAAATGTGTTTGTAAAATGTCAAGATTATCATAAAATAGAGTACTCTAAAATATAATAAAAATGATTCCACACTAAAAAATAATTTTCACAAAAAATGTTTTTGTATTTGAAAATAAAAGATGTTTTAAATAGGTTACATATTTTAAATATGTTATTTTAAATATATTTTTTTAAAATAAATAAATAAACGTTTAATATTTAAAAAAGATAAATAAAAAAAATCCCTGTATCTGAACCCTAAATTTTAAAATAGGGTTTAAGTTCAACCAAATATCGAGGGTTCGAATTCACAGCCCTTTTTAAACAGTTAATTATATTTTTTTAAATACTAATTTAAGTAACCTTACGCGTGAGAGTTTAGCACGAAATAAAGATCTACTGATGGGAAAAGCCGTTCGAACAAAATAATAACATTTTAATTCATATTGTTTGGTTGGGCATTTTGAGACCACAAACCAAACAGAGACCGATTAATGGGAAATCCATCGAATCCGGAGTAATATGGACCTTGGCAGGTTTGGACCTCTTTTAGAAAATCGGTTTACGATTGAGTTCCTATCAACATTACCGCTAAATATAGTTTAAAATTTCTGAACCATAATTCGGGTCCAGAACCCTGTTAAATCTCTAATTTATTATAACCTACTATTACCCTCTTAAAAAATGAATGGAATTATTATAATTAGAACCTTATGTTATAATAATAAAAAGCACCATATTTTAATTAATATAATTTATTTACCACGTAATTTATTTTTTTATAATAACACAGATACAGCCTCTTTTTCAAATCATTCGCCACAGAATCGACCTCTCTCATCTCCGAACAATAAATCACAGCTTTTCGATTCTTACAACGACGAATCCGATTTGTTACCCAATACCCTCAAGCGAAAATAATTTACTACATTAAAAATATTTTTTGCTAGTTTACCTATTACGAATCGCAGAGAGATAAGAAGCTACACTTCCTTCGATTCTTAAAATTTTATATAGCTCCCCCCTCCCCAATTCTTTGACTCGCGGTATTTGAATTTTATTTAAATTATTTGTTTGTTGAGAAAAATAGTCTAGATATTATCACTCCCTACAAAGTATTATTTTAAAAACAAAATATGAAATTATTGATTATAATATGCCTATATAAACGCGTCTAATGTGATTTTTTTTTAAAAAGTAATTTTTAGACCAGAACCAATTTTTGTTATATTTTTATAAATCTACTATTTTGGCTTAAGATCGCTTTAATTTTAGGTACTCACATTTATATATATTTTTTAAAAGTTGTCAATCAATGACGTTTTTCTAGAAGGAGAACGCGTGCTAAACGCACCGATATTTAATCAGAAGTTTGCCTGAAATATTTCTATTTGGGCAAAACGTTACTTTGTGGAGCACATTATTAAACCAAAAAAGACTTCGGTTTCCCTATCATAAATGCATTTCTTTAGAAATATTCATTCAATTCAAAACGTATTATTTTATTTGAATAATAATGTAAACATCTTATTTATTTTATCTTGTTTAAACCTTAAAATTTTATATTGATAAATTATATAAAACTCATCTTCATAATGTAAAATTATTCTAATTTTTGTGTACATAATATTCCCTTACAAATCATACCTTTTTTTTTTAAAAAAAAGGAAAAAAATATATTGGACGGGTCATAAATTTATTTAAAATCGTTTTCTTATTATATCGTTACATTTCTCACTCGTATTTTTTTTCAAAATCATCGTGTAGCTATATTTAAAAAAAAACCAAGTTATATTCTATAGTATATTATTTATTTTTTTTGTAATCTCGAATAAAGCAGTAATGTAATGAAATAAAATAAATGAAAATTGTGTTTTTAAGATTTTCAAAGGCTCGATTTTCAAATTTAAAAAGAAAGTGGAAAGTGACCCCTACAGTGGGGGATATAATGATATTAAGATCAAGATGTATACTAGGTGTGAGTAGGAAGCACCATAGGTGAGAAGGTGGTTCCAATCAATACAAAACTTAAGAGTAAATGGTGAAATGTAATGCATAAAAAAGTATGAAATTAAGGGGGAGTGGGATTTTGTTTGGTGGAGAAAATTGTTTAACGGTTATAAAAGCATAACTTGTATAATAATTAACCTTTTAGATTTTTAAATTCTAGATTGTTTCTTAAATATTATATTTGAATGGGATGGGGCAAACGCCTTTAAAGGGCCGAGCAATTAGTGAACAAAATTTTAGTGGGGGAAAATATCTAGTTTGGGATATAAAGAAATTGAAGCAAGGTGATAAAAAAAGCTGACCATCAGAATTTTTCATAAAGTGATTAACTAAATAACTTAGATGGCATAAGACTATGAACTTCTATATTTTTTCCCTCAAAAGTTTCATAACTTTTACAGATTTTAACGAAATCGTATGTTAAATCTTTAGTTAGTCCCGGTTTTTTTTAATTTTATATTTTAAATGATGAGGATATCTATCTAATGAAAAAATTGGTTTAGCTTTATAAAAACAAAAATAATAATTTATCACAAAACAGCAAAATACTTACCATATAATCCTAAGGCTCATTTATAGTAAACGCGTTTTATTCAAACGGTTAAATATTTAACTTTGCGTTATTTACAAAATCAAGCCAATAAATAGGTAATCTATGAGTATGGAGCGAAACCTTGAAAACGCTATGATAAGATTTGAAAAACATGTTGCGACGTATATTTTATATTATCGCTGTGAAGAAACAGCTGTGATTTCGATCGCGTTAAATACCCTACCTGAACAAAATGCGCCTACGATAAATGAGTTACCCTGCATTCACAATTAGCGCGAATTCGCGACGAATTTACTGGACTATTTATATTGTAAATTTTAAAAATAAATCAATATCTGTACGCCTATTTTAGCCATTAATAAATATGACGGTTGAAAAATTATGGCAGATACTAATTTAAAGAAATCCTCCACCGACTCATCTGTTCACAGACATATAAATATCTAATTGTTATATTTCTATGAAAAACAGCATTTTATTAATAAATTTTATCTCAAAAATCATTCATATTTTTTTCTTAATCATAAATTTAAAAAAAACTTTAATAATAATCGTATCTAATTTCTTTTTTCCTAGTTGTTTTCCAGCAGGGGCACAATTTACCCCATAAATTATTACTTGTTTTTTCATCCGGTTTTTTCCTATTAATAAAAATAAAAGAGAATATGGGATTATATAAAAAAAATTATCCAATATTATTTCTAAAAATAGGTAATTCCAGAACCTTTAAGAAAAATAATTTCATAACCAAAATGAGTTCAGAAAAAAAATGACTAGAAAAAAGAGGGGGAGAAGGGCGAAATAAAGAAAATTAAAAAAACAGGGGATTGGGTCATTCTGCAGAGACCGGATGCGTAATAATTTATAACAACTGATTTCTAAGTGACTCCTTGGCTATGTAAAAAACAGACTCTTCTTGGATCTATAGATATAATTATTTTTAAGGAATTCACAAGAGAACCTACTAGACCCTCTCCCCCTTAAGCCTGACAAGATCCTCCTAAACCCTGATTACCGCTGTATGAAATAAATCAATTATAAAGTTTATACTGACTATATATGTTGTCTACGAAACCCCTCCCACGGAGTTATCCTCTGAGATATATATCAATCTGTATTTTAAATGTAAAATGTTTGATTTCAAACTTGTAAGGTGTATGTTTAAAATGATACTTTACTAGGTAAAATGCTATAATAATGTCTTAAAAAAGTTGGGAGAAGGGTTGGAAGGAGTAAATTTTTTTTTATCATGTCAGTAATTAATTGTATACAAATTTAGTATTCTAAGTTAAAATATTTTTTTTTAGAATATGAATTATGTTTTAATTAAATGATTAATAAATGCAATTAAGTTTGTTAAATCTACCCAGATTTAAACCGCTCCCCAGTCTAATTTTTTTAAATTTAAAGTAGTGAGCTGCATACATATTGAGTTTAGAAACAACCTAGGTTATTTTGTCGGCCAGATCGGTTCAGTCTCGACAGATAGAATAAAAACTAGATTCAATTTGGTAATTAAACTCAAATGCCGTCGACCATTAAAAATTTTTTTTTTTGATTGGTCTGAACTGGCTGATCTTTAATATTTTTAATATTACAATTTACTATTACTGTAAATATTACTTCAAAAACGCATACTCGTTGCTAATGTTAAACGACCCGATTTGGGTCATTTTTATAAAACAGCCCGATTAAGAATTTAGGAAAAATAATATTATGTAAGCCTGGAGATTTTGCTCATAGATGAAATTTTATTCCATGGTTATTGCCCGGAATATAATATAGTCAAAAAAAATATTTATTATGAAAAATATTATAATTTACTCACAATTCCTTTTTAAAAAAATCTCGAGCTTTTGGGTTTAACAAAGCTCCTTGTCGTAAAGGATATAAATACATGGTATCTTCTAGACTAGATTCATTCTTATTTAACGCTTGAAAATTCTGTTTTTTTTTAAAAAAAATTTATATTTTATGAAATAAATACAACGATAACAGAACATTAATTGATTAACATTATCTGTAAAATTAGAATGTATACAAGCTTAATATATTTTTAAAAAATGAATTTATTATGCTACCCCTTCATTCTTTTCGAGGTCGAAATTCCGAGCTACAAAATCTACCGGATATTCTTCATCTTTATATTTTTTCAAAATAATTTTTTTCTCTATTTTTTGACGTTGTTCTTCTAAATCCGCTTCCCCCCGCATTTCCTTTGAGGTTCTCAACTTGTTAGATGAGTGGGCGACATCAGGTTTTTTACCTTCTTTTTTAATTTCCGCGTTCTGAGAGACTATTTTCCATTTAGCATTCAAACGGTCCATATCAGCGTCGCTCATTTTAACCGGTCTGGACTCTTTTTTAGTAAGATTTGTATTATCCGCCAAAAAACCTACCTGGTGGTCCACTTTAATGCCTTCGCCACCTACCTCTGCTAGGTCAATCAATATTTTGCTACTGTTTTCGTTGGAATATTTTCTCCCGTTCCAATCGAATAAACCATCGTTTGTCAGATTTTGTTCCATAAAAAGTTCTATCAAAAGTCCCCTCAAATACGTATAATCTGGCTCTTCTTCGAAACTTATACCGCGAGAATAATTTAGAAAATCTTGAAATTGGGCTGGAACACCGTCGCATAAATCTTCCGTGCCCAAACTATTCCTCTTTTTCAGTCCAATCATTTTATAACGCTCTTTGTTAGAAAAAGCCTTTTTCGGGTCGAGATTTTGCCATGGTAAGGAGCCCTTTAAAAAATAGATGTACAGATACGCCAAAGATTCAATATCATCTCTCCTACTTTGTTCGTAACCTTCGTGTGTATTGATTGACATGTAACGAGCAGTGCCGGTTAGAGATTTTTTCATTTTGTGGGGTATGTGCTCACCTGAATTAGCATTTTTAGGGTGATATATATATTAGAGATCTGCAAAGCCCGGCTCGAACGGACTTTGGATCTGGCCTAATTTTAAAATTTTTCCATGAAACAAGGTGCCAATATTTTTTACATGCATACTATTGTTTTTATAATTTAAGAAACATTAAAATTTTCTATATTTAATTTGGGCTGGGCCGACAAGTAATTTTTACTTTAATTTCAGACTAGGCTTTTCGGGATCAAAAAAAATTGTTTAGGATCGGACCGGAAAAATTTTGGGCCGGCTTCAAAAATTGGGCTCGAAATATGTAATATATAAATTGGTATGATTTAAACATCATGTCAACAAAAATTAAGTATACCATCGCTTGTCAGATATTCCTTGGAAAGCCCGAAATCTATCAAATATATTATTCCATCCAAACCTAGACTTTTCCTACCAATCAAAAAATTTTGAGGCTTAACATCCCGGTACACAATTCCCTTCCTATGCAAGAATTCTATCCTATCTAATGTTTGCATAGCAATCATGAGAATTGTTTTTAACGAAAAGGTTTTTTGCACCATCACAAACAATTCTTGCAAGCTTGGGCCTAAAAACATTCAAATTATTATCGAGTAAAACTCTATATAAAATAACTATTCATTAAATACTCGTTATATATCTCACCTAATAAATCCATCACAAGAGCGTTAAACCTATTAGTACATTCTCCATAATAATATATCTGTACGAATCCCATGGGCAAATTAGTACCAGGATTATAAAATTTGCTATGCTTTTTCTTATGATTTGCTAAATTTCTGTTACTTGGCATATTCTTTCCGATGTTCTCACTCTTATCTGACTCTTTTTCATTTGTCGAAATTGAGAATAAATCAGGAAGTTCCGAATCCCTGTGCAATATCCAGTACACGTGATATTCTTTATGTAGTTGAGGTTGTTTTGCATCTACATTTTCAAGCTTAACAGCATATACTTTTTCGGTAGAAACATCGGTACAAAGTCTTAATTGACCAAAGGCTCCAGACCCTATTACCCTGCCCAGCTTAAATATAGGATCTTTCAAAGGATCGGAAATGTTTGATGTCATACTCGTTTGGTATGCAGGGCTTATCCTTTTGTCGGATTCAATCTTGACAACTATGTTTTTCTTCTTGTCATTCCTAGTCTTGCTAATTGGTTCGTTCTGTTTTATTTTACCTTTTCGATCGTTACCCTTGTGATGCGGGATATCAGTAATAACAACCTCACTTTTCGCTGCATATCTAATTGTATCATATGGTGCATCTGCATTATCTTTAATAGAAGCATCTTTTTTGGCTCCATCTAAAGATTTCTTATAAATATCTTGTGATTCGTATTCCCATTCCTCTTCCGCACCCTCTTTGACGTTATCGTCTCGTAACTCCAGTTGAATTTTAACAGAATTTTTATTATCGACGTTGCCCTTGTATTTAATAGAATTACTCAGCATACACATCCAATACCCCGCCTCTGCATATCAATTAAGGTTTATGAGTATTTACCAAACATTTTAACCTTAATTCATATAATCATGTCAAAAACATTATAATATACTTTGTATTCATAATAAAATGTTTATTTTGATAATTTTTAATTGTTGTAATAAATTTTTTTATATGATTTAATAACGATTCATATTATTATCATTTTCTCAAACGATTGTACTAACTTTAAATTAAAAGGGAAATTCAGATACATTCTTTGTGAATCTGCACAAATAAAATATCAAGAAAATAATAATATTATATTAAGCACTCTAATATCAAAGTTTATCTTTCAGATCAGTGATTTCTTGTCGTTTATTTATTTTGTTGAGTTTATGTCGCAATTAAGATTACCATCTCCTTTTGAAAATTTAAATGCATGATGCTTTATAAGTCAGTGGTCTACGTGGGCCGATAGTTTATCATAATCCACCCAGTCCAATAAAAAATATTCTTTAGCCCCAGCGCAGTAACGTAGACAGGGAGGGAATTTGTATTTCCCCTCCCCCCCCCCCATAACCCCTGAAAGTTTTTTATTATAAATTTAATAATATTATATATTAATAAATTCAATAATATAATTTATATTATATAATAAACAAGAGAATAAGCAACATCTATAAAGATTAAAGATTAACTTCATAAGATTTAAAAATATTTTCATCGGGGAAAAACTTTAATGTTTAAACGTGATTAATTTTTGAATTGTAATTTAAAATTTGATGTTCAAGACTAGCATGAGTAATTTTTACTTTGCTTATGACTGGTTTTCATTAGTTGATTAGAAAAACTGATACTGATTGATGAAATTAGTAGGTGCTAATCATGGTTACATATTGTTCATTGCTTCTATTATTTTTTTTCTAACATGATATCAATTTTGGAAATTTATTTTTATTTTGCCGATAATGTTTATCTTTAAACTAAATACCAACATGTTGAAACCTTAAAAAGTGTGAAATGTATACTAATTACTGACATAAATATTTGAGATTATGCTTCCATATCTTTGGATGACTTTACGCATAAGGCGTGATATCATAGTTTGTATTGGTTCGAAATTCGGTTACTTTTTTTGTGGTGTCGTAATTGATTAAAGATTTAATAAGGCACTAAATATTAACGAAAACCAGATAGTTATAACTCCTATATTCTCCATTCTGGAATAGTGCTAATTTTGGCAATTATATATTTTTTAAAAATAGAATCAAACAATAAAATGTTCTACTAAAGCTCAATTTAATGGTTTGTTATAAATTTCAGATTTTCCCAAAATCTTGGCTAACTTCACATTTAAAGCATGACGTCGTAGTTTTCATTTTTATAACCAGTTTCTTTTTGTGGTACTATATTTTGAGGACTTAAAAGTCCTGTCAGGCACTAAATAGGGCACGCCAAATATAGTTTTTTTAAAAATTATTTTCCATTCTAGCATGCCAATTTTTTTAACTACTAATTAAATTAATTTACAATTGAACACACATTGATAAAATTTTCAGAATATGCTTTCATTTACTTTTTAATCGTAAGGTTGTCCAAAATTTTTTCATTTATGCTGGCTAATTTCCTGGTTAAAGTCAGACACTAATAAAGTACAAAACATTGGCATATTTTAGAATTAGTACTTCCAATTGTTAAGCCAACTGTAAAAATGATAACCACGGAAAAATCATATAATAATTTTTATATGGCCGGGCCAAACGGACTTTGTCCCCCTCCTCCTTTTCATGGATAAATCCTTTCTACGCCAATGCATTGGGCTAAGTTTTAAACGTAGCATGAATGAATTCAATATTCTACTAATACATTCTATTATTCTTATTTGGCATTCAACAAATTATTCCATACTAAACGACGAATTAATAATAACGATTTGAACAGAACGGGATCGAAGATAAAAGAGACAGGAGAACGTACAAAAACAACAAACGATCGGAAGCAAGTTCCACGACTACTGCAAGGAACACAGAAAGATCGAGGAAAGAACAGAGGGGGGAATGCTAATATATTTGAATTTTATTTTAAATTATATTAACTTAAATTTTACCATAGGGACTTATTATATTATTTCTTTCACTTAACATTATATTAATCTAATAGTTACATTGATTGTTATTTACTTTTGAAAAGTATATATAAGAATTTATTAGGTTAATAGTCAGCTAGTTATATTTTATAATAAAGAAATTTTGTTTCGATATCTTTTTGCTTATTCACACCACACTATATTAGCAAGTGTCAAGTTCTATTATTTTTTATATAAATAAATATTTGATTTATAAATATATTCTTTTTACATTATTATATCTTGTTCTTAATATATATTTCAGAACTTTTCATTCACTTATTTTTCAATATTAGCTGAAAGTAAGTATCTCTAAAACAGATTAAATTTTTAAGTTTGGCTTTAGTTGTAGTTAATTCATTTTATTATCGAACTTCCTTCTAAATCACAATGGGAACGGTTCTCTCAGCTCTTACCCAGGAATTTAAAATGCGAAACCATACAATAGCAATTAAAAAGGTCAAAACCAATTCTACCAGACAGTATTATAATTGTCTTCTGTGATTTAAAATCAATAATAGTTTGACACTTATAACACGATTGTTGGCAACCATTAAGACTCCTCAAAACCTATTTAGGTGTTGCAACTTTAAACCCATCTTAATTGACTTTCTTTTCTCGCTACTCGTTCCAATAAGATTGGCCAAAGGGGAATTTCTATCAAAGGCATAGCATCTTATTAACAGCAAATTATCAGAATCAGATGAATTAACATTATCATGACCAAAATATATTAAATACTTTACAGTAACATCATATCTTCAGTTACCAAATATAAGATGTTTAAAAGTATATCAGCAAAATTTTCTAGTTCTTATTTAAAGAGATTCTTGATTGTAATATTTATTCTTTTGTATAATATAACTATCCTGTTAATAATTTATTTTAGATAGTTTTATTTCATAGACTTATTAAACTATTATGATTATTAAAATAGATATAAAGTGAAAATCTTTTGATATTATATATTTCATACATAGTATAAAATAGTTAATATCTTTTATTATTTATTTTTAATGTGATTATTAGAAATTTTGCTATTATCTTTAATTTTTATCAAGGGTTTTATATTTTGATACAGTGTTGTGCAGATTTAATTCCAAACATTTCCATATTTAATAATTCGTTTGAAAATTAAGTAAAAATTAAGTAAAAATTGAAAAGAATATTTAAATATGTTATATTTTGACAATTTTTTGCAAGTCAAATTTTATTTTCAAATAAATTATATACAAATTTTTTAAATTAAGTCCGCACAACACTGTAGTTGAGCACAATTTAGAGTATAATAAATTTATATATTTTATAAATAATTAAATTTTATATGATATATAAAAGTTTATATAAATTTTAAAAAAATTTATTCATAAAATTTTGAACGAATGTGAACGCGTTCAAGTTCATGAATGCGTTTATTTTTTTAAAGGTGAACTTGAACGTGTTCGATTTATGTCAATGAACGTAGAACGCGTCGATTTTTTTTAGAAATTTTTACAGTACTACTAAACATTGATAAAATTGTTGGAATAATGCTTTCAATCGCATTTTAATCGTTAAGTTGGCCAAAATTTTGTTACTGATAAATTTTTCATTTATAATGGCTACAATATTGGTTAAAGTCAGACATGATAAAGCAGAAAACATTTAACATATTTAGAATTAGTACTTCCAATTGTTCAGCCAACTTTAACGGAGATGATCCAAAGATAACTTTGGATAAATCAATATATAATATTTTTTATAGAAAGGATACGAGGGAAGGCCGGGCAAACGGGGTTTGGATGCAACGGCCCCAAAATATACTTTGAATCCCCAAAACGCTGCTTATTGACAGGAAAAAAAATTCTTCCAAATTTTTACAACTTTTATTGATATAAATAATTCTTCCATTATAATCTAATAAATTTATCAGGTTTAACACAGAGAATTAAAGTTTTATAGATATAATTTATATATTTCTTTTCTAATATTATAGTATGCATATCTAAATTATTAGTAATAGTTGTATTGTATATAATGAATGTAATTTTAATAACTCCAATACATTCAAAATATTCTGCGTTAAAAAATATTTGTATTGTGTTCATTAAAAAAAACTACATAAGTGAGTGCACCGATAAATATTCTACGAGTTAATTGATTTAATTAAAAATTTGTAAAATAGGTGAATTTTTTTTCATTAAAAAGGAAATACCATAAAAAATTGTATACTTAATATCAATGGGCGCATTATTATAATTTATAAAAGATTAGAGTTGAAGACTTTATGTAATGAAACACATATAAGTTTCTTTTAAAATAAAAAACTGTGATTTCTAGATTTTTTTAAAAATAAAATACTTCGTATTTAAATACAATAACGTTTTATATTATGGCGTTATAATGAGATTTACAAATTATCATTTTTCCTAAACTATAAGATGACCTTATTTTCAATAAAAAAAATATGAAACTGTTGTATATATTGGCCTATCTATTCGATGGAATCTAGGTGAACAATAAAAGAGTTTAAAAAATAAATAAATATTTTTAAATTTTTATACAAAGATAGTTTTAATATGATATACAAATAGAGAAAGATATAATTAAAATTATTTACAAATTGTACTTTCAAAAAATTTGGTGGAAGGGTGGGGGGGGATGGTTGTTAAATACAACAAATTTTTTAAATAAATAGGAATGATGACGTTTATAATAGGGATTATGGTATAAATTTGGAAAAAGTATTTAATTCTAACTAATTTAATTTATAACTTTCTAAAAAAGTAAACATGGGAAGGGAATAATGAAAAAATACCAAGATAAGACCGAATTTTCAGTGATGGTCGCAGCTGATGTTTACTCGTAAAATCATATCATTCGATTTGTTGTTTATATAAAACACCTACCCCCTCCGGTTTAATAAATATATCTAATGATTTATTTAGATTTCAGAACGCACAAAACTTCCAAAAAGTATAGAAATTCCCTGTAGTATTTATTATGAACCGAAATGACAGATGTTATTATGAAGAAAAATGTTTTGCCAGTTATATAAAGTATGAATATCACATTTAGGATATAATATTTAACGATTTTCGTGTTATCTAACTTTTAACACAAACATACAATTAAAAACTTATTTGTTTTTCTTTAAAGTATAATTCTTTCGTTTGAATGATCATCGCGATGATCGATAAGCTGCCTGTTGTTACCTTTGCCGCTCAATGGTGGCGGTTGAATAAGGATGACCTTGTTTTCATCTTCGATTCTAGAATTATTATTCATTTTGTTTTTATCCAAATTTGAGGCGTCCGTAGCAGTTTTAGGGCAATTAAAATCGATGTTATTATCAGAACCGTGATTGTCGTTACTTATCATGGTGTCATCACTTCCAGAAAGAGCGTGAAGCGAAGGGAGATGCCACCCGCTTATACCGTTAAACGAATCTTCCATATATTTGGCGTTCCTTTTGGAGTGTGAATTATTACCGCTACTATTTACCCCATTATTTTTATTATTAAGGTTCGGCGATAAATTAGGTTGGGTCGGGACGTTCAAAGATGTGTTCACATTATTGGGCATATAGTAAGAATTGGTATCGTCGCTCCTCAAGCTACCTATCCTTCCGAATCCGTTGGAATATATGGAAGGCTGTGTAATTAGTTATAATTTTTTTTATAGAATATATATATTTCTAATGTCGAATCGATTTATGGCAACCCTAACATGTGGACTAAAAATTTATAGGTAAGAAATAGCTATGACGAGTGATTGAAAATTAACCCTGACTAGTGTAAAAAGATATTCTTTTAACGTACGTTAATAACTTCCATTACATGTTCCTTGTCGTAACCTGGATTATCGAAGGAGACTGGTTGATTAAATGGGCTAAACTTTTTTCTGAATCATTCAGACAAAATGAATAAAAATATGAGTCAATTTTTTTCAAAATATAAAATCATTAACTTTTGATTATTATTATATGAAACTAATTCCTGGTAATTAACTTAACATTTTACTTTTGGGATCTTTTAATCTTTTTACATTTAAAAAATAATTCTACGTGATAAAATAAAGTCGCTCCCCTATAAAATTGACAGAAATGCAGTTAGAAGCCACAATAATAATAATCAAGAAATGTAAAAAATTAGCCCAATGTAATTTTTTTTATCCCTAATCTTTATTAATAAGATAAAAAGGGACTATTATAAATTTTTTAAAAAAATAATATAATTGATTCATTTTAAAAAAACTTGTAAAAAACGAAGAGCGCAAAACCAACAACGGATATGAATAGAATAAAGCCTATGAATGCAAGGGCAATGGTCGCCGGTTTTCCGTTGCGGTGATGCCTAATAACATCACTGTATATTTCAGCTTCTAAAAGTAAGTTTGTGATATCATAATTCAAAAAAATTAATATTTTAAAAGTTTATAATAAAACGCGTTTGATAAGAATAATATAATAGTTGCTGGTAAAATGGATATAATGAAAGGAAATATGACTATCATTATTTTTGTCAATATACATATAATAAAAATAATGATGGTTACACGCCCTTTTTTACCACTTAACTAAAAAAAAGACATAACCTGCGGAATGAGTTTGTAGCCTCAAGATAGGACTTTTATTAGAAGAGCCATGAGAATTACTAGCCTCTACTTGAAAGTAATATTCCGTGTTGTGATTTAAATCGCTAAATCTCATAACTGATGATCTTGTTCTATTCTAGAATATTAAAGGATAGTAAGTTTAATTTTTGTTTTCTTCTTCTAAAGTTAATTATTATGAATGAATTCAAATAAAAATGATATAATAGGGCTGTGCCGATATTAAATATCGGATCAAATCGGCACCGATATTTAGTGTTTTCCCAAAAATATCGGATCGGGTCAATACCTGTAAAAATCCGATTCCATCATTTTACTTTTCTTTCTTTTTGTTATTTTATGTTATATATATTTATTTTACATTATATTTTCTAAATAATTTTTTTTTACTAAATTTTATTTATTTTTTCTCTTCTCTTCTCTTCTCTTCTCTTCTCTTCTCTTCTCTTCTCTTCTCTTCTCTTCTCTTCTCTTCTCTTCTCCTCTCTATAGAAAGGAACACCCAAAGTTTTATTTATTTTAAATTTTTTTAAATAATAAAGCCAATTTTATTATTTATACTTTAAATAAAAGAATTTTTTCAAATATGGCATCTGAATTATGGAAATATTTTACAAAAGACAAGGATAATTTCGCAAAATGCGTTATCTGCGGAATTCTAATTTCATGGGGAGGAATAATAAAAATTCATTTAATACTACCAATATCCGTAAACATTTAAAGCGATTCCATCAAACAGCATTCGAAGAGCTAATACAAAAAGAACGAGAAATAGTAGAAAAAACAAATCAAATTTTTAAAATAAGATACCTGAAAAAATAAAACTAATATTTAGAAAAATTCTGATCCTAATAATATATTTTTTTATCTATTATAATATAATTTATTTTTAATTAGAAATAAAAAATGTTAAATTAAAGGCATAATTCGATTTTTTGCATAAAAAATATTAATTTCTTAATTACATTTAGTTCAAATGGGAGGGGGGGGGGTGAAAAATCAATATAAATATCGAATCGGGTTTGAAGCAATATCGGACTGGATCGGTGAAAAATATGTGGATCGGCACAGCCCTATTTAAAACCAACATAAAAAGAGAAGATTTTTCTTCTTCTTCCTAGTATTAATTATAGTAATCGATCCTAGAACATCATCAATAAAATCCAGGCAAGTTGCCCAAATAAAATTATTGATATTTCCTTCCCTATGGTGGAGGGAAATATATAATACTAATTTTCTTTTCTTATATTTTGTAATAGATAGATTAAAATAATTTTTATATTTAAAAATTAATTTTTTTATTTACCAAACAAATAAATTCAATGAATATACTTATTTATATGTTATACTAAAGTCATGCTCAATTTGTGTTAAACTATTGGTTTCCAGAAGCGAAATTAATGATCACACATTCAAATTTTTAAATAAATGAAGTAGAAATGTGAAACAAACAAAAAGGAAGGAATTATAAACTTGTTGCCATTTGATTTGATTTGAAGATCTGTGATAAACCATGTAGTATTGTACTTTACCGTGATTTTGTTGTGGAGCGTCCCATTTTAGTATTATCATATTATTGTGTATTACATCTCCTCTTACATTGGTTGGCATTGTAGGTATATTTACTTTATTTCAATTTATTTTATAGTTTAAAAATAATCATATTTTAAATTTTTTTTAAATTTTTTATTAACGTATAAATTTGAATTAATCTTTCAGAAAATTATATTAAACCATTAGAAACTAATTTAAAGATTTTTATTTTATAAAAAATGTTATCACATTCACTAAAAATTTTATAATAACATTAAATTGTATATCCTGAAATTTTTTTGAATGCAAGAGGTGTCGCTTTAAGCCTTCCCACAACTTATTATAGGCAAATTGTATAATATTTTTGTAAGTTTAGCCCTTATTCCCTATTGTAAATCCCAAATACCCAGTTTATAGAACTCTCAGAATTTCATCAAAATTAGGAATCGAAAACCATTTTTAAAAATTTTTGGAATCTGAACAGGAACCGTATTTCGTCCATGTTCCAAAACTCTGATTATAACGTTCATATTATGTTTCCCGTCTCCAAAAATTATTTATTTGGCCACAACTCAAAATTAGATCTCAGAGAGTATAAATTTATTCCAATCTGCCTTTCTTTTTTTTATTAACTCAAACTACTTTCTAACAAGTATTAATAAAATGTCTTATTGTTTATATATTAGAAACATATATTTTATGATGAGGTACAACTTAATATTTTAGGTTATTTCACTCATAATATTCATTGAAAATAATGGCTAATCAAAGTAATAAATTTTTTATTTTTTTTCTGCTAGTATTATATACATAGGTGATACATCATCACACCTATCATAGCCGTGTTTTCCACTAGTAAAATTTCTTTTAAAGTTACGAGCAATTTATTTTCTTGATCTTAAGTTATTTTTTATGAGTTATGTAATTTTTGACATCGACTCTAATTCACATAAATATCCTCTATAATAGAGAACCTGAAAAGGTTGGTGCCAAACTTTTCAAACGCAGATATATATTAATCGTATAGTATTTCGAGAGTGGTCATTCATAATTTGAAAGATGTAATTTTTGGGATGAGTAGCATGCAATTGAATTTAACTACGAACATTATTTTGCTTTTTAATTTGGTTGATGAATTGCAATATTAATTAATAAATGTCATTTTAATATTTTTGATTTACCCTTGCCTTGTAAATTTAAAACTATATTTTTTAATAAAAGAATAATAATTTTATCAATAGATTTTTTATTCGCCAAAAATCCACTATAATATTTAAATATAAAAAAATTGACCCTCCTTTGCAAAAATCCTGCGGGCGCCCCTAAAAAGTTGTATATATTTTTTAAACCAGATCCATTGTAATAGCAGTCGATAATAGCTTGAGAATAAGCCAAACAATCTTGCAAATGAGGGGTCACGAGAGGTGGCACAGTTCCTTCGCAAAATCTTCTACAATTCCAAGGAATATTTCTTTTTATACAACATTGAATGTGATTTCTGCCATCTTTTTTTTTAGATTTTTTTTAAAAATGAAATAATATTTCCATTTTTAAGAAGGTATGGTTTAAAGATTAAATGACCAAAATTCAGTCCCAAAAAATTAGTTCAAATTTAAAAAATCTAATTTGCGTTCCAGATCATAAACAAGTTACAAAGAATTGTGATTAAAAAAATATAATTAATAGTCATTTTCTACCAGCAGCGCAATGCACCAATTTAGGGAGTTCTGGCAAGCAAGAGAGTCTGTATGTGTTTCCATTGACATTGTTTGGATAGTTAGATTCTGTAAAGTTTTGATTATTTGGGTCCTTGTCATGGCTATTAAACAAAAAATCGTTTAAATCGACGTCGTAATAGCAAGCTGGCAGACATATGGGTTTAACATTAAGATTTTCACAGCACTCTATATTTTAAAAAGATTAAAACATAATTTTAAAATAAAAGTTTATATCAGTAAATGAAAATTTTAAAAAAAGAAATGCATTTATAAATTAATTTTTGAGAAACAAATTTATTTTCGAAATTACGCGTAACATTAGGCGAATAACGAGGTTGGGTCGACGAATTCCCGTTTATATCATTAGCATTTTCGTTGAATTCCGAAAAAGAACCAGATTTCCTGAGCACTCTTATGACATCTTTATCCATGCCTTGCGTGTTGTGAGCTTGACACCTATAAGAGCCCAAATCTTTGCCTTTAACGTTCTTGATAATCAGTGTCATAGTGTAAGTGTATTTATTGTTAGAAGTTGTATCTTGGTAAACCCAATATTTGTGATCTGAATGGGCATCTCCTTAAAAATATTGTTTTTTTTTTAAAATTTTTATAATTTGATTCGATTAATTCGTAGTTACTAGTTAAAGTACATATAGATAAATAAAGAATAAATCAGTTACATCGCTAGCTTCTAAAGACCTGCTAAAAAAACATTTTATTTAAGCATGAACAAATTAAATTTAGAAATTCCAAAGCTGAGCACACTTTTGTCCATCCATATGCTACTGAACTAAAAACATGAGGGGAAAATATTAATCCTCATGGTAAGTTATGGTTTCAGGAAAAAACAAAATTGATAAATAAATAATTAGAGGATTTAAATATCACAATTTTTAATAAATTTGCATATAAATCTAAACCTTGAGGTATGATTTCTCCATCCTTGTACCAAACAGCGCTCTTCTTGATGATAGGAGGATAAGCCTCGATTGTGCAATTCAACTTGAGGGTTGAATACATGTTCACGTATACGGGACTATTTTTGGCGATGACCACAGGATTGACTAAAAATAAATTTAGTAATTTTGTCAGTTTATATAATGTATAATCATAAAGCATCAAGAGCATCACCTTTGCCAGGGAATATCAATATGCATTGAATTTTTGCCATTTTTTTTATTGTCAATTAATTTATCCCTAATATATATTAAATTTTGTTTCCCGAATATATATTAAATCTTACTTATAAAGGGGGAGATCTTATTTTAAAAAATAAAATTTCTTTTACTCTTATATCAAACATTAAAAATAATAGTAGAGGTTTTGTAATGATTATTTTTATAGTCAACAAAACTTCTGATTTTTATAACAGTAGAAATATTTTAAAAAAAAACTTATCCTAAAAAAATATACATATATAATTTACATGCGATTTTTAAGTATACGAAATCTTTTCCATTGGGTAATATCCCGTTCCTAGCCACGCATTTATATTGGCCCATAGCGGATCGATGAATGTGATCCATGGTTAGGTTCTCACCATGCCATATCGGACTTTGAAAATTATCTTTCCTAATTAAATAAGATATTAATAATTTAATTTATTGTATTAAGAAAAGATAAACATCATTTAACTCAAAAATCATTATTAGAGGGATTACGCCTCGCAATAAAAAAATCATTTATTTCATATATTTTAAAATAATATATCTTCGAGTGAAATAAAAAAAATTATAATCAATTTTCGGGTAGGGTTTATTCGTGAAAGGAATTTGTTATTTTTGAGTTGGGTCGAATCTAGGTAAATACTTTAATTTTTACGGTCGGTTAAAAAAATTGGTCTTCTGCACGTCTCTAACGAAATAAACGTTTACCCGACCGTTGATATGATAATGTCTGAATATGTCTCAATTTAAAAAAAATAAATCATTTTTATAATTAAGCGTTTATCATCACCCGGTTACAAATCGTATATTTTATCAATCTTTACTAGGCGGGTTTTTGGACCAAAAGCTCGCCCACCCAATGTTTTAAAAAAATTTAACCCACCGGCCCAACACGCCCATAGTTTTAAAAAATATATACCCGCCCGCCCCGCCTATTTGTCTAAAATTCTTTACCCGCCCGCCCGCTCGTTAGTCTAAAATTTTTTACCCGCCCGCCCATTATTTATAAACAATTTTAACCCAAGTCCACTTATAAAATTTAACAATGGCCATTCTTTCAATTTTTTAAGCATCTAATAAATATTTAAGCATTACACCTCTACAAAATGTTTATAATTTAGGAAACTAATTAAAAAATATTCAATTTAAATTATGAACAATTTATTTGATCAAATAGAATATTTATGAAATATAAATATAAAATTGATATTATATGTAATCATAATGCAAAAATGATAATGAATCGACATTTTCTGGATTCAAACACGTTCTTCTTTGTTCTAAAAACCTTCCAGCAATGCTAAATCCTCGTTCAGAAGAAGCACTAATTGCAGGAATTGCCAATATTTTTCTTGCTAATCTTGATAGCTTTGGCAATCTCTTGTCGTTTCCACCAAAGTAGGATATCCGTCTGAAGTATAACCTCTTCCTCAAGTGAGACCCGGATGTCCCGTATGCAATATATGTAAAACACTTTTTTGAAGCGAGTACGAAGATTAATCTGCCATTCCAAAATAAAATATCGTGCTATTTTCGTAATCGTTTCATGCTATTCGGAATAGTAACAGAACAAAATACTATACAGTTTTATAAACCAAACCTCAAGTTAATATTAGAAACAGATGCATCTAACCAAGGATTTGGAGCTGTATTCATAAAAATATGATAATAACGAATTTCCAATAACTTACACCTCAAGAACCTTACAAGACGCTGAAAAGAATTATTCTACAATAGACAAAGAAGCAAAAGCAATAAGAAACGGCGTAGAAAAATCTCATAACTATTTGTATGGACTAAAATTTAAAATTTGAACAGACCACAAACCTTTAATAAAGATATACGGTAATAACAGAGATTTGAGCTCATTAACAAACCAAAGATTATTACGTTGGGCTTATAAATTATCTGCATATGATTATAATATAATGTACAAGAATGGCGCTAATAATATAATTGGAGATGCTTTATCGCGAAACCCAATAAAGAAAAATGTAGAATAACAAGTGAAAATAAAACAGTGAAATATATAAGAAATCTTACTTATGACACATTAACTCTATTAAGAAAAGAAATGGTACAAATATACAAAACCAAGCACCACAATTACAAGCTTTTAGAACAAGAATAAATGAAATAAAAATGATGACGGTATTTTATTTTGGAATGGCAGATTAATCATTCCGTACTCACTTCAAAAAAGAGTTTTGCATATATTGCATACGGGACATCCGGGTATTACAACAATGAAATCCATTACGAGACATTATATATGGTGGGAAAAATTAGATAAAGATGTCAAAAAACTAGTAAAGTGTTCTTCACTTAAAAAAACGATTGGTACAAAGAAATATTGTTATTGATCATTTAATTATTTATGATTTTTCTTTAGTTTGTTTTTGAACAAAAATTTTAAATTTCCTTAACCCGCCCACCCAACCGCCCATAGTTTCAAAATTTTTAACCCGCCCGCCTGCCCATTCTCAAATATTTTTTACCCGCCCACTAAGATGGGAGGGAGTGGGCGGGCAGGTCAAAACTCCGCCCAATGCAGACCTCTAATCTTTACACGTGAAAATTTTTCGATATACCCACTTATTATAAAAAAAATCATGAATATCTTAAAATGAAAACTTCAATATATATTTCGACTTACCAATGATACCAAGTAACTTGCGGTTTTGGATGACCAGCAGCCAAACAACTGAGCGTGACCGTGTTACCATCTTGAATAACGGAAGTTCTTGGGTAGATTACTATACCGGCCGTAGGAGAAGCTAAAAAAAATCATAATTGTAAAAAAAAAATAACATTTTTCTGAATTCCGTTATATAAAAAAATGAACCATGTTGTTTAAAATATGCCTCTAAAAAAGAAAACTACGTGACTAAAAAAAGAAGCTTATTTATTGTATAATATAATATATTTTTTTATAATATTAAACGAGAGACCTAGAGAGAGGTCAATATTTTAAGCTTGGCCAGGATTATATTTTTCAAGCCGGGCCCTTATTAAAAAGAATTATTCTTGGGTTGGGGGTCAAACCTGTCTGGGTTTTTTATTTTAAAAAGCCCGGCCACTCGTATCGGACTGGATCAGGTTGACTAAATACGACATATACATAAATTAAGATCTAGTATCACCACTTTAATAAACCAATTACATCCTTTTTTCAAAATTAACCCGAATGGTAGAGCTGGGAAAGATACTCAAAAAATAAAAAATGACATTTTTTTCTACCAATTTTTATTAAAATTAGAATTAATTCTTTAAAAATATAATTCAATTAAGAAGAACCCAAAAATAGAAAACAATAAAAATTAAAGTCATGGATAATATTGAATAATTGTTGATTATTTGGTCCCAGATCTAGATGAAAGTTTTGTAAAACTTTTAAAAAATCGGTCCGACCCAGGTTTTTAAATTTGGTCTTTTCAAACTTTCACCATTGAAAATTGTATAAAATGGAACGACTTAAGAAATGGAATCAGGTGAAGATTTAAAGTTTATACATTCTTGTGATGTTCTAACGATTACGATCTCGGAGCGCAAGCTTTCTGTGAATTTGTTGTCCGAAGTTACGAATATTTTGTATTTGGTGTTCGTATTCAAGTTGGTTAAATTGTAGAAAGGTTCCGATACGTTGACCTAACATTTGTTATAAGGAGAATATAATATAATAATTAGAATTGTTATGTTATTATATACCTCGTCCTAAGCTCACTAATTAGCTACGAATTTTTAGCCGAATTTCTGAATTAATGTTATTTAGGCAAATTTAACTGATTTTAATGAAACATCTTTGAACAGGCAAAGTTTATAACATAAGTTCCTAAATTCATAGCTAATTGTGTATTACAACAAAATCATAAAAAATTGGAATAGGAAATTTGGCTCCTGGAACCCCCCTCCACCCCCAAATGTTTTTGAGGAATATTCAAATTCTTTATAAAATATTGATATTAATAAGTGGAGATCCTGGGAACAAAGCAAATTATGTAAAACAATCTTATTGGCATCATTGGTCAAAGGCTGAATACCCTAAGCTAAACAGAAATAAGTTTCAAAAATAATCAGAGCATTGACATGGCATGAGAACTTTTAAATCTATGCAGTATCCATTAATTTCTGATCATTTGCAGTTTGCGGATAATTAAAATTACATTTAACTTATTATATTCATCATATTTAAGGTGATTGGAGAAATTGTGGACAAGAAAATTCTATACATTTTTCATCTCAGATAATGAATAGTCTTCTTATCGAAGACAGAATTATATATTTTTTGGAACAGTCTAATCCTTAAAATTTATATCCGAAACTATATCTTAGTAATAGGGTAAATTATTTTTTAAAAAACTTTCAAGATTCGTACAAAGCGAAGGTCATTAATAGTGCGCACAAATTGAAAGTTTAAACGCAGCGTTTCAAAACGCAAGTTTAAATATGGCACATTTCCGTTTTGCATTTTAAATTATATATTAAAAAACAAAATATCTTGAACTTTTTGAAACGTTTTTAAATTTTAAAGTGATAGAATGGATACAACATCTTCTAAAAAGTAAGAATAATTATATTAAATGATACAATAATTTTTTAGCCCATGGAATGATGATAATAAAAAGATTGCTGAAAAATTGAACCAGCCGAGATAACAGCGATATATATATAGGCAAAAGATTAAAAATCAGTTAAATAAGGAGAAACTAGGGAGGTCATCGGGTTCAAAAGGTGGTAAGCATGAATAAATATAGGAAATATATAAATTTTATGAAACGGACTGTTGCTGATAAACCAACATCTGGCAATTTAGATGTTGTCACCCTCAAATACGATAATAAAACCTAAAATGCCAAATGATATTAACTGGTTAATAAATGTATAGGAAAGTCGTCTGGGATGCAGTAAAACTTATTTATATCTATAATTTATTTATATTTTATTTAGACATTTTATGGAGAGCCTTGTAGAGGATGAAGAAACCTTAAGTTTAGACAATCAACTATTATTTAAAATTGAGGTTTTAAAATTTCTACATCAAATAAAGACAAATGGTAGTTTACAACACCTATCAATGAATCTGCGTTAGATATATTTAATAGCATTATTTTGTTTTTATATTTACAAGTGATATTTTTAAATTGACATTTTTGTATTATTTTACACGATATATTTTTATAATTAGTAAAATTTTTATATAATATTATTTAGTGTTCAAATTTAGATTAATTAAGTATATTTATATACCTTATTCCAATAATAAATTCAATACTGAGACTATTTAATCCTTTATTTTTACATAATTAACTTTATTAAGATTTTCTATCCTTTATTTTAACACAATTAACTTTAATACCTAGGCTTTTCTATCCTTTAATTTTACACAATTAAATTTAATAAACAAAGGATACTTCAATTAAATTTTTCTTAACATCCAAATAACTTATTTCTACCATGTAATAACATAATTGTGTATAATGAACAAATTAAAAATATAAAAGATTAATCGAAAATCTATGTTTCTAATCATAAATTTGTGAGTCCAGTCAAAATAGAGAACGATAATATTTTATCTTAACAAAAAAAATGTAATCGGTTTATTAAAAAGAGGTTTATAGATATATCTCAATTCATTGCACGTTGTTTCCGTTAAAATATCCACCGAATGAAATGTATTTAAGAATATGTTATCAAGACGAAAACAAATAGCCGATGTTTGTGACAATCAGCTTTCCAATAGTGTGGGATCATCCAACCGGGGAGGGGGCTCATTCACAAGATAATGCTAAATCGGAGTGAAACTAGGGATAATAGTTCATATGTATGCTGATAAATTACCATGAAAAGAAGAGATATAATAAAACACAAAATATTTGAAAATAAACTGTGAGGAATTCAGAGATAAGATTCAACCTATAGAATTTTCCGAGCCATTAATTTTAATCAGAGATCTGCGGGTCAGTTCATCATTTGACGCAGTTAGGAGCATGCAGCAAAATGGTAAAATTTTAAATGTCTGGGCCGAACATTAAAAAGATAGTTCAAGATTCATTTATAGCTTTTATTTTGAATTTCCTTAATTATTTACAAAATGCAGTCAAGATCAAATATTGGCCAAAATAATTCCTTTTTTTTAAAAAAAAATATTTGGACCTGGTTTGAAAATAGAATTTTATTAAATCCCGTCATGTATTAAATTTTTATGCAGGTCTCAGATTTTAATATAATTTTAAAGATATATTGTAATATACAATATGTAAATATAGCTCTTTGTGAGTTAGTGTTTTTTCAGAGACACATCAATTTTTTTAGAAAACATAAGCATCTTTTAATGCTAACTTGATAGAAAAAGAGATAGATATACAGGTTGTATTATAATGTGCACAAAAAAGAATGTTTTTTGTCATGGTGATTTAATTGTTCTTAAAAGGAAATAATTTTAAAAAAACTGGAGAAAGAATGGGAATTTCCAGCGATCAAAATTGAATTTAATAAAAGTGTCTTAATTTTTATAAAAAAATGAAATATATTTTGTAGAGTTGGATACCTATATACTCCCAAAAAATAATATATCTAGTTATCGATAATAACAATTTTTTCCCCAACCTGGAAAAATGCCGAAAAAATTAATCAATTATAGTTTTCTTATGCTAACTGAATAACCTATCGCTTAAGCATAAAAAAATGCGTCAAACAAAAAAAAAATAATATAATATAAACCGAATGAAATGACGGCGGATTATTTTCCTCGTTTATTTCTTGTTCGTTTCCATAATTATTGCTATCATGTATCTCGGAATAATAAATTCTGTAAATCCAATCGGGTTTTACACTGAGCGGATTTATGTCAAACTTGGTTTTAACTTTCCAAGCTAATGATATGTAGTTCAGACCGACCCTAAGCACTTCTATCTCATAAGGTCTCGGAGGTGTGGAGATGGGTGAAAAGTATTTGTTGGGGTTACCTAATGTGATAATTATAAGGATATAACTAATAAAGTTTTTAATGACATCCCTTATAATTAAATTTAAACATAAAGACACCTTTTTTTCTATCATCCTTGTATAAACGTTTAAAAACCTTCGACCAAAGGATTTCAATTAAATGCAAACATATTTGTAACTCTAATTCAATGTGTTATGCTATTATTTAATTAAAAATAGCTAATATGATCATAATAACGGTTTAAGAAAATCAAAAAAAAATTTATAGCTCAATGAAACATAAAAAAACGAACAAAATAAAGTCAAGTTGAAGTTCTTGATAACTTCCGTACTACTTAAAAAATAAATACATTTTTACAAATGGCGGTACTCAAATTAAATAAGTAGGAAAATTATGAGGTAATTATAAAAATTTCGAATTTAATCCTTGAAAGATTTTTTACAAAATATTTAGCATTTTAATTAAACTTGATCAAAATTTTTTGTTCTTTGAAAAGAAATACTGACTAGGATTAAAAGATGGAGGTTCCGGGTGTTCAGGTAACGTCTTGCCAATGATAACATAGGATGGCAAGCTACTGCCATGTATGTTGATGGCTACCACGAATAGGCGATAAGTTGTGTTTGGAAGTAAATCTTTCAATTCTATATTTGTTTCGTTAACTATCACCTTTGGGTTTCATTTTTTTTGTTGCAATGATTAAATGTCAAATAAATACTGAAAAATAATTTGGTAGGTGGTTTAGACTCTGCAAAATTTAATAATAAATTTATTTGACTAGCCATATAATATAGTATAATCCTAATCCTAGCCAATCTTATATTAAGTTTAGGTAAAATTATGTAATATTTAAACTTTATTTAAAAAAAAAAATATTTAATATTTAAGGTTATGAAATTGAATTTCAATTTTATGAACAACTTGATATTTATCTTATTTTTTTAAAAAGTTGCAAAATGTATGATTTAATCAAAAAAATACTATGATAGGTGCTCTAAAAGGCTTGACGTTAGGTAGATAAACGACTTTGTAAGATAAAGCGCTTGCATTATCGAAGATGTAATTCATGTCTGGTGGGTTCCAAGAAAATTTAAGACTATTTTTCGTTCTGTCAGCTAAAATTAATTGAGTTGGGGGTGTGGGAAGTTTTCCTTTTTACAATAATTTTTTTTTTTAAAATATGAAGTATAATAAATAATTTTTTAAAAAAAATTATCTAAAAAATTAATATTAGGGTATAAAATTAAATTATCATTTAATTTAAAAATAATAATTATTTTATTATAAAGATATTTATAATAATATATAACATTTGCAACGATAAAATTTCCAAAAATAAATATATTCAATTCATTTATTAACTTATTCCTTCCTCAAAGCATTCCAATATGCTACTAGCGTCCTTTAAACAGGGTAAATAATTGATAGCTTTATCCGGAACGCGCGAACTACAAAATAAGCTGCAAGAGTTGCCTATTCCTCGTGATTTACAACATGGCGTATGATCTCTGAAATCTGCGAAAAAGTATATTTAACCATAAGTTGTATATTTGTGTTCTGGTCGAGAGAATGGGACTTCTCTTGACACAATGGATTAGAAAAATTCGAAATTGATAAACATAGCGGAATGTAGAGATCTGCAACTAGTGATCTGCATCGGGCCTAATTTTTCAAGCCCGGCCCAAGCCGAAATTTTTTAAATATAGAAATTAATTCTTATAATTACTCAAAATAAACGATATATGTTATATAGCGTCTACTTTCTACAAATAAAATCATAATATTTTTATTTTACATAAAAAATAGATATATTTTAAAAAAATTTAAGGCCCGAAACGGCCTGGGTTTTCTTAAAAGATATTAGGCTTTGGGCCGAGTTCGGGCTTGGCCTATTTTTGCAGATCTCTTCTGCAACCTGGCCTAAGTCGACCATTTAAAAAAAATCGCATAAGTTGCTGGTTAGAATTTTACAAAAAGTTATGTCCAGTCCGGCTCGTTAAAATATTACGAAAAGTTCGCCCCGGAATGTTACATTTTTTAAATAATTTTTCCAGCCATTACAATTTTAATTCTTCCCGGTCCGGCCAGCGAACCGGGGCAGATTTTTATTGGAATAGTCATTAAAATTGATATATATTTGTTCATTTTGGAGACAATTATTTTTTTTATTATCCATTAGTTTATTTAAAAGTTTTTATGTTAAGTCATTATAATTTAGCAAAATTAATATTTATTATATTTTGCTTATTTCATGTTTATCTGCACTATAAATTTGAATCATTTAATTATTATATTTATTTTCGGGATTGTTAATATTATTAATAGCCGTTTATTAATTCTAAAATGACAAGTAAAAAGGAGACAAAAAAGGTAAAAACGAACCAATTAAAATCTACTTAACGGCATTAAAAAAAAAATACTTGATTATTTTATTTTTGTTTGAATAATATTATTTTGTGTTAATAAACCAATAATAAATATTATTTGTCTCGAACTTGTGTTAAATATTAAAAAGGGGAATTAAAAAAATTCAAGAAATTTAAACCACAGAGCAATCATACGTTTTATTGTGTAAATTAATATAGAATTCGCTATTATTTAAAATAAATTTTGATTTAATTATGATGTTTATTAACGTTTCCTTTATTCCAACCTTTATCATAAACGATTTCCAATATTATTTTTATTTTTAAAATATTTATTGGTTCTTTAGGATTCTCAAATTTATAAATGGAAAAACAAACAAAATACCAGTTTATACAATAAATATTATCACTTGAAGAAATCGCTTTAAATTATAATATCAAAAAATAACATACACACAGCAAAAAGTTGTAGATTAGTCGCTTGATTCTCAAGTTACATCAAGTGAGTAGACCTGTCCGCCGAATCAACAGCGATTTTTTAAATTTTTTTATCGGCGTTTGGCAGCGCGGCAATAAATTAGCGGCGACCACGGATTTATTTAAAAAATTTTAAATGAATTTATTTTATAAAATCAATGTAATACATTTTTTTCCATAATTTATTTTGGCACTCTTAGTTCTAACATTGTTATTTTAATTTAAATTCATTTTTTAAATCATTCTATCTCATTTTTATTTAAATTTATGTATTTTCTCATTCTTAGAAATATAAAGGAATTGCATTTTTACTCAGGTCAGAGTCATATAAACAACACATTTTAGTAATATTCTATTGATTTTTATTAAACAAATTATAATATAAATTTGGAATGCAAGCAAAATATAAAATAAGAAACATAATAAATTAGAAATCAGATTTAGTAAAATTATAATTGTCATGAATAAATTGTATTTTATCAAGATTCGTGGGACATAAAAAAATCCTTCTTGAATTGAGTATTAATCCAGCGATAGAAAAAATTCTTCACCTGGGTGTACTGGTTGCAGGTATACCAAGAACTTTCCAAACTAAATTAGCATGCCTAGGAAGTTGTAGGCGTTTTTTTCCAAAAATTTAGTGCATCCTCTTCTGGTATACTATGTTGGTTGAGCAAAAATGGCATTTCTGCTCTATATTACGAATGTTGTTATGATCGTGCTTGAAAGAAAATGTTTACGAGTTATTTTATTCATGAACTGAATGTTTGCCCATTATCTTCAACAATCTTGTGCATTTCTATCATACTCTAAAAGTTTTAAATGACAAATTAAAAATTGCAAAATGTCGTAGAATTCGAATTTATATTATTCCGAAACAATTTTAATATTTTGAAATCTCGGATCAAGTAGTATCGCTAATATCTAATATTTAAAATATATTTTATTAATAAAAATAAAATAAATTATTTGAAGTTCAGGAAATCTATGTTTCAAGCTTTTTTTGCATATTATCTTTAATGAGCAATCAGATTTATTGATTTGCATATGTGTTTCTATTTTACTGCGAAATAATTATCTTAAATTTATTGTTGATCCCTTTTGAGAGGAAAGAAATTCCACCGACTATCTGAATGGATTTTATAATGTGTAAATTTCATCAATATATACATTCGTTATTAAAAAAAATTAAGGAATGTTTTCCTACTTTATTAAGAAAATGGATACTTTTTGGCATAATTAATATGCTGTACCAACGGGTAGGGCAATTTAATATTTAAGCTTTTCGTATTAATTAGATCCGCTGGTGTAATGCAATTTATATTATCAGCCTCACCAGAGATATCAAAATGTTCATCAAGGTATGGATCAGAATCATCAATTTACAAAATATGGCCTATCTCATAATTGATTGAGGCAGTTACGATGCTCATCTTCAATTTCACATTCCAAATCAGCTACGATATGAGGGCTGAAATGATTTCTCTAATTTTTTTAATCAGAATATTAATTCTGGCAAATTTCCATTAATTATGTAGTCCATGCCCTAAGTATAAATGAGGCTCATAATACCCCAATCTGACGCTTCTTTTGATGTTAGCACCAGCATCAGTTATCATCTGTATTATTTGGTTTTTTAAATACAATTGTTCTTCTATACTATCGATCTTAGATAATATGGTTTCACTAGTATACTTTTGCGTCACGTTTCAAGTTGCCACGGTAAAATATTTTAAATCAAAATTTTTATTTAAATTATAAAGACAAAACGTGATATAATTTAGATGCTTAAAATGATCTGTCTATAAATCAAAAGTGATAGAACAGAATTTTGATCCAGAATAATCAGATTTAAAACATGCGCCTTTATAGATGAATACACATCATCTAGTGCACCCTGACAAATGGTTTCCCTATCAGGCAATTCTGACGAGAAATTAAATATCATATTTATATTTTATAAGACAATTTATTTTTTAATAATTTTATTTAAATTTCAAACTTTTAGAAAATCAGTTATTACTTTATTGTTTATAGAATCAAATGGCATTAAATCTAAGCATCAAATCAAAATAATTTTGCCCTATTCGATTTTAAATTTATTTTACAATTAAAAAGATATTTTAAAAAAATCAAAATAATTATAGCTGAAATGAAAAAAATTTTTGAATTAATTTAATAAATCATTTATATATAAGTTTATACATTAAAAAGTTATACTGCTGGTAATAAACAAATTAGGGTGGTTTAAAACGAGTAAGTCTATAAAAAAAATTTAATATGTGTATTAATTTTTGTGTAATTTAGAAATATGATATATGAATGAATGTAAATGAATACACTATTTTATTATATGCCTGGTTAGCATTAAAAGAATCAATTTGAATTCATATAAAGAGGTGATGAGTACCTCCATCCCTCCTAAAATATTTTAACGTCAATTTGATTTTACATCAAACATGGAGTTCTTTAATAATTAAATATATATATTACGATTTAGCAGACTATAATACCTGCTAAACATGTGAGTATCGTTTGAAAATGAGTAAAGCAAGAAGAGGTAAGGTTAATTAGTTCGATCGAATTAAGATCAGTGTCGTATCGGCAAAGAGGCAGACATTTAAAATCGATACCGCTTATGGAACAGCAATTTTGGGATTTTAGATTTAAATCCAGGCTTTTTTTTAAAAAAAATGATAAGAAAATAAAATAAATGGCATAGTTTTATAATTAACATAGAGAATAATTAATAGCACTTTGATTTCTGGACCTAAGGATATTTAGATAAACAAAAAATAACATATTACAAAATTTGAACTTTGATAGTAATTAAATTAAGATAAAGGAAAAAATTGTTTTTAGGTTACAATGCACAATTTAACCAATAAAATGAGTCTAAAAGAAATTGACGTAATTATTAAATCATTAACTCTGAAATCCCATGTGTATAAGATTTATTGTAATACTTACTTAATTTTCATTGTCAATTTTATTTGATAAGATAATCGAATCAAGCATAATTAAAGAAATAAATTTCCAGGCGTTTTATTGTTGCCAATTAAAAAGCAGTGTCAAGTCAAACTGCCCGACTCATTTAGAGAGTTTGATCATATGAATCAACCTCGAATTGACTAGAATAATGGAAATATTAATCGAGTTAAATCGAAGTGGATTTTTACAACACATGTTATTATAGTAATACGAAGTCAATATTGAGAATATACCATTGTTACCTACTATTCTCGTTTCCGTCACCTTGATCCATGTTAACAATAGAGCTATAACTATCGTTGTAACTCAGACCATTCTGGTCATTGCTACCGAAAGAAATAGTACCTATAACTTCTTGTAAAGTAAGCACTTTTAAGGAATTCGAAGGCAATGAGGACCCGTTAAGTGCTTGAGCCACTACGAAAACCTCGTACCAAGTATCGGCAATTAAATCGTTTATGGTGAAAGGGGGAGAAGTGGTTTTGCTTATGTTCGCGATCTAGCTTATTTGTTTATAACATTATGTCCAATTAATTCCGTTGCAATAAAAAATATTATTTTTATTCATTGTCAAATTATAAATCTATCATTTTAAAAATAATATTTTTAACTAAGTTCTTTAAGTGTGAACTAAAAAAAAGTAATACATTACCATTACCCTATAAAAGAGTGACGCTTTATTCGTGATTTTCAAAATATCTAATATCAACAAACAAGTTAATTTAATAATAATCTATAATAATTATATATAACCATTTTAAAATAAGTATAATCTTTGATATCCCCATCTCTCTTATTCTCTTCCGATATAGCTCTATAGTAAATTGCGTAAGATTGAATTAAATCAGGATTTTTAATCGAGGGAACCCAATCGAGAGTTATAATGTATGTGCCTTTGTAAAGAACTTTTATATCCATTGGGGGACTAGGTAGGATTTCTGGAATCAATGTTTTGTTGAAATATATAAAATTATTAAGATTGATTATTACTTTTAGTATGTAATGGAATATATTTTCCTTGATGAAAGCACTAATGTTATTACATAAAATAAAAAGTTGAATCATAATTCTATGAGTTTCAGAACATGGAATTAATTTAGACACAAATAAAGTAAGGCACATAAAAATCTGTCAATCAAATTAAATTTTAAGTCAAAGGAAATTTGGAAAAGAATAAAACTCCCTAAATTATAAAAGAAATATGAATAGCGAAATTGCAAATACAGACTATATAAAACTATATTTATTAAAAATTTCATTAGAATGTGTTACCATATCCCTGCCTTATACAAGTGAGTATAGGGTTGATTTCGACTATACATCTAGCTTGACCAACGTTGGTAATTAAATCGTTAGTTCCGTCGCAAAAACTGAAACAAGACTTTGAAACTCTATTACGGATACAACAATCAGTGTGATTTCTTCCGTCTTTTAAGATTTATTTTGAAAATAATAAATAAGTATAATTTTAATTAAAAATAACCAATAGACATATTTTCGGTCAAAATGTCCTGGTGCAATAAATAAAATGATCATAGGTTTAAAAAAGACATTTGTGTTAGACTAAAACTCTCCAAACATTTAAAACCAAGAACATTTCCTGTTCAAAACATAGCCAACTATCATTATATAAAAATTATGGTATAAGGATCAAAATAAAGAGAAAGGGGATGAGGATGAGGAAATCATGAAACTTAAAAAATTAATTAATGAGAGTGGTCAATATAGAGAACGGTTCTGCAATAAGAAAATATGTAGAACCTCAATCAAAATAGTTGATTGATATAGCCAGTAAGAAAGAAAGAACGGTAGTCGAAATGGAAGATTTTAACGAATTGATTGGCGTATCAAAAAAAGGAATATAGAATAGTTTTTAAGCATTTTTTTTATTTGGAAAATTGACTAAATTTACCTATGATACATCTCATGGATGCATCGAAATGAGTAGCACAATTATATAAGGCAGTCGTAAAATTAGCGGCTAAATTGTGAATTTGACATAAAGCAGGAATACATTCATCTGGGATTTGACTGGTCTTGCAACATCCTAACAAAAAAATTTAAATATAATTTAAAAAAAGGAAGACATAATTTATTTTAAAAAAGAGAAATTACATGTACAGTTTTTAAAAATAGAATGTGCAGTTTAATCTAGGTGTATATTCAAATTAAAAATTGCGCAATTAATTAATTCGACTGTAAAACTAATTATCTAAAACTGCACATTTTGATTATCCCTCTGAGGAATTTAAATAACATAATATTAAAAAAAATGAATGGTTTTACCTTTATGAAAATATATTTTTAAAAAAAATCACCTTTAATAAATATAAATATTCAAATTATAACCAACAATATTTTATAATGAGGATATCAAATAATAAAAAATCTTATTCAACTATTTTAATCTTAATAAAATTACAAATGTCGACGATCAGTATTTAATAAATTAATAACGCATCAGTTATAAAAGATAAAATTAATTAAGATTTTACAAGGGAACTTTTTTTCTTCAAAATGTCTTTTGAAATATTTAAACTGACCTGTCTAATTATTTCTGCCATATTTTGAATTTCAAAATTAAATTTCCGATTACAGCGACTATAATTTTAATATTTTACTTGTTGTGAAGGATATCAGTTTTGTAAAGCGTTTTTTTAATTTTAATATGAACCAATTTGCTCCCAATGTTCAAACAACGAAAAATCAAAATATATTACTTATTATAGAATCCAGAGACGTGGTAACATTTGATTCTGAATATTTGTCATTACTAGTTTCATTGGCGATGTCAGCGCTTTTAGTAAATATCTCAACCAATTCGGAAGGTAAACTTGACCCATGAGAACCAATTGATTGGATGTATATTTCGTAAGATGATGAAGGAGCCAGGTTATGCAAGACATGCTTTAAATGGTAGCTAGGAACTATAACCTAAAAAGGATTCATTTTTTTTCAGTGTATGAATTAAAAATTAAATTATATATTTGCGCCACGTTGAATTATTAAAAAAAAAAAATAGTGCTTATTGATATTTTAAAATTATAATAATCTAATTTTCGCGAAAATTTTTTCATTCACAATCTTTTAAAATTTTGAATTATTTCGATTTATTACGGATGATTCGTTCCTAATGAGCAATATCATACGGGGTAAAGGCTCGGATGATTCCAGCGATGGATCTAATAATATGGTATCTGTGATAAGTAAATATATAATATATTAGAGTTGGAGTGTTGTTAAAAAACCCGATTTGGGTCGATTATTAAAAACGGCCCGATTGAGATTTTAGCAAAAATAATATTATGTAAGCTTGGAAATTTTGCTCATAGATGGCAGAGGTTTGAACTTCTATTAGCTAAATCTCGAGGCTTACGTAATATTATTTTGGCTAATATCTTAATCAGGCCATTTTTAAAAATCAAAAATTATACTAAGATATTGACAAATTATTTCTGTATGTACATAAATTGTTTCCAAAAATACAATGTAATAGGGAATTAAATAAATAAGGGCGTTGATTCACGAAAGAAATAACGTGATTAGCTAATGCCCATGAGCAATGAGTAAATTCTTTGAATAACCAATGTCATATGATATATATTTATATTGTTTGTGGTCAAAGCTATGGAATTCCAAAATAAAATACACAAACTTGGTCACGACAAATCATGATATCCCCCCCCCTCCCTCCCATATATAAAGTCTAGTTTTTTTTTAAATTTTATCCAAAATCAATGATAGTTATAAATTCGAACCGGAATCATGGGCTACATCCACAATGCGAGGATGATTCGCCAAAGTCTCATTTTCTCCTAACGATAAAGTCTCGTTGATATTTCCTTCCTTGATCTCCTTATCTTCGTACATGGGATTATCCTCGTCGTAATTTTCGTATTCGCTCTTTTTGGTATTATTGGCACCGCTGTTAAAACTATTTATGTTATAGTTATTGGAGTGGCTTAAACTTTGCCTGTAAACCGAGGTTTGTGGCGAATCGGGAGAAGGTAGATTGATCCGGGAATACGTAATTCTGTAAGAATTGACTAATATGGGATTAGAAGTGGGTGGCAGCCACCGGATTTCTAGAGCCGTTGAATTGAGTGGAAGGGCAATGGGGTACAACGGAGGACCAGGTAGAAGATCTAAAATAAAAAGTAATTTTGTTTGAATTTTGTTCAATACTCTAAAAAGTAATGCTAGATAATGTGTTTAAATGATTTTTTTTCCCTAGGTAAAACTTTAATAACAAATCCAGCCACAAAAAAAAATAATAAAATTTTTACAATTTCCTTCCTCGATGCATTGAAATATATCGGGCAACTGTGCCGCGCACACCTTCGCTAATTCTAAATCAGAAGAGGTGTGAGTGCATAAATCGATGCAATTATCGTCTATCAGTCTTCTCTTGCAACAATCCCTATGATCTTTTCCGTCTTACATTTCCAAAGGGGAAAAATAAAATATTATACATATATCGTTTGTAAACAATTGGTGCAAACGTATCCAAAAGGGTTATTATACATAGGTATATTAGGTTAATATTTATGAATTATTAAAATTCCAATATAAATTTTAAAAAAATATTTTTTCGTTTTATTGCCTTAAACTCTCTATTGTATGAAGTATACTTATACTATAAATTTAGAAAAAGAATAATTATCTTTCTCTATATAGTTATGTAAAACTAATAAGATATTTTTTATTCTCGACCATTTCTGCTATGATAATTTTAATTAATACCATGCATTAGGGCTAAAATAAAATTTCATCATAAATAATTAATTTATGATAAAATTGGTAAAATAACAAGCTTCCACAGATTTTCTCGTTCTTAGTCGCTTTATTTGCGCTTTTGCTATATGAATATAGAACTTCAGCGATTAAAATCTTAAATTCGAAAGATTAAGCTGTTCTTTTAATGGTAAATGGTGACCTGGAATCTCTACGGTGCAAAAGCCGGTCGTCCATTAATACCATATCAAAAATATGGAAAATCAATCTATGACACAATTTCCTAGATTTTATGATCTTAAAAGTGAAATAAGTGAGTCATTAGGTCAACTCTACATATTGATTGATTTTATACTTCAAACACAGAAAGATGTCTAACATCTTGCTTTCTTTCTTTCTGTCACTTTAGACTTCACAAAGTTTATGAAATAGTATTTTCTTTCAGCATTGAATCTTAACGTTCCTCCTGGAAAATTATTGAAGTTCTTTATTTCAATGAATTTCTATTGAAAATACATACCTTACTTTATATATGTCTATTTATCATAAATTTCGAAAGTTTATATTTTAAAAAAAGGCCTAAAATGCATGAATTCTAACATGATAAATTTTCAATATTATTATTTGACAAAAATAAAATATATCCTTAGGCCTCGTTTATATTAAGGGAAATACTGTGATGTTTCTCAAAAAATGCATAATTTACAAAATACACAAAATTCAATTATACAGGTATGCTAATCGTTTTTTTACTAAAAACGAGGTCTAAGCAAATTTTATAAAAAGTTTTACTATACTAATGATGCAATTTGTTTTATGCGTCAGCTGGATTTTCAACAGCTAACCCAATATTTTAACTAAAAAATATTTTGCAAGCTTGGAGATTTGCTCATAGATGGCGGGAAGGTTTGAACATATATTAAAGAAATCTTGAGGCTTGCTTAATATTATTTTGGCTGTAATCTTAATTTTAAATTGGCTAAATCGAGACATTTAACAACAGTAGGTAAAAGCAGGGATGCGAACCCGGCAAAATTTTTGACAGGGTTCGGTTCGGATTTGGTTTAAGGTTATAAAACAATAGGTTGGTTCGGTTCAGGGGAATATTTTTGAACCCGAATTTGGTTCCGAATTCAGCTCGGGTTTAAGAATTTTTGAATTTATAAAAAAAATTCTATATTTAAATCATAATTGAAAAACTAGACATAGATTTGGTATAAAAAATAAATTTTTTATTTTATTTATATGCAAAATATAGTTAAAAATACAAAGATAGTCATGTATAGATTTAAAAAATTTTATTTAGACGTATTTCTTTAAATTAACAATATCTACAATATAATAATTTTTACTTTGACTTGTTCACTTTCATTTTCCTCTAATTAATAATCTTTGAGAGAATAAGTTAAAAATAAATGGCGTAACTGAATTTATGTTTAAATTATTAACACTCCGATAGGAATCTTTGGGAATAAATTTAAAAATGGCTTAAATGAATTAAATGGTTTAAAATTCATTAACACTTCACTTAATTGGAAATCTGAAAATATTATAAAATCTCAATTAAATCATTAATATTTTTATTTACAATTATACAAGTATCTTATATGATTTTAAACATTACACTGAACCCGGTTGAACCCGGGTTCAAATAAAATTACTGGGTTTGGTTCGGGGTTTTGAAATTTTTTTAAACGGGGTTCAGATTCGGTTCGGGTTTAGATTTTTTTTCCAAAAAACCGGGTTTTCTTTTCTGGGTTTAGGTTCGAATCCCTGAATAAAAGCATATGTATATAAAAAATTTTTATCATCATAAAAACATCTTCCAAGAAATAATAAAAATGGTTATTTATCGAATTTCCTTATTATGATTATTTCTATAGTTATTCATTTTCTTCTTCTACTTTTATATATTTCTTTTGAAAATAGAACAAGGCCCATTTATTGCCATTTTCGTCATTATTTTTTGTTCTTTAATATTCTTTCTTTTGCGGAGGAATCAAATCAATGTTATTACATAAATTTTCAAATTTTTTAAGCTAAACAACAAATCTTCTAAATATTAAAATCCCAATCACTTTTTTTAAAAAAATAACCTTAGAAAATAATCAAAAGAAAACAGATTTTTATATTAAAAAAAAGGAAAACAGCGTATATGTTCTCTAAAATAAATGAGATGAAAAGAATCATTTTTAATTGGTTATTCGTGGGTATTTTTTTTAGAAAGAATGAAGGATTTATTTGATTTTATTGTCAAGCACAAATTTTTTCTTTTTTTATTCGGTGGCGTAGCCAGGATTTATCCAGGGGGGGGGGGGGTCATAATTTTTTTTTTTGGGATAACAAAATTTTGGCCAAATTTATGATTTATAGGAGACTGAAAGCCTTACTCTGAAAATTTTTTCAATGTTTAGTGTTCAATTGTAAATTAATTCTCCATTCGGTGTAGAAAGAAAAAAATCACCCCCCCCCCTCCTCCAAATCTCCCATTTTTTATGATCACTTAATATATCTTATTATTTTACAGAGAATTTCATTATAGATTTTATTTATTATTAAAATACTTTAGTATAAATAACATCCCTTTATTAGATAATATACAATAAAATAAATTTCAAAATATATAAATTTTATATAGTTTATTACATTAAAAATTTTTTGTAAATAACTTTATTTTAAAAAAAATATATAGTACAGTAAAATATATGTAATTCTTTGCATATAACGGTATTTAAAAAATATAATTTAACAGTTTAATTAATACAAATGATTATGATTATATTATCAAAATATGCAAATGCAATACTTTTATTAAAAATATTATAATATAAAAAATATTTAAATTTTATGACTAAGAATTTATTATAATTAGGTTATGCATATAAAAATCTTATGACTATTGCAATTTTATGATTTGAATTTATAAAGAGAGATCTACTTTTCTCTGAGATTTGGCTAATTATATAGAATCAAATCTTTATTTAAAATAATCTCCTTATAAATATTTGATAGGACTAATTCATTTAAACGGTTTTGACCGGTGCTGTTTCTTAAATAGGTTTTTAACCAATTCAAAGTTGAAAAAGACCTTCCAATAGTGCAGGTACTAATCGGCAAGGTAGCTAAAATAAAAAACAATATTTTGATATTAAACAGGGAATCTAAAGTTCAATTACATATGGAAAAGGCCGGCAAAGCATTTTTTGGTCTCAGAGTACTCTATTCTCAAGATTTTTATACCAAAATTCGACATAACAAAGTAACTTATCATACGATCCTGATAAATCATCAGAGGAAAACCTGAAATTTTCTTGATATCCTCTCGCGTTTCAAGTGTAATCAACAATTCAGACTCAACCGGCAAAAGAAAATAAAAGCTTACTGTTTAGCTTTACCAAATACTCTATCAAGAAACTTTGGAATTTTATCAAATATGAACCTATGGTCTAAAACTATCTAATTTGTTTAACAATATAAATTATATTATTAAATTTATAATTGTTCAAAAAATATCTTTAGAGATATGCAGGTCATATTTTTTCTCCATCCTCAGCTCTGCTATGCCATAAAATATTTACAATAATTTTTATAACCCCCCCCCCCCCCCATTTAATATCTTAGTTCATATAATTTTTAATTTAAACATGTGATCATTTAAAATTTTTATTTTTAAATATATTTCATTTTGATATCGTATTTTCGTTTTATAAATAAAATTATTCTAAAAAAAATTTTTTTTCGGAGATTATGTGGGGGGGGGAGGGTCAACCCCAAACGCCCCTCCCCCACTGTCTACGCCAGTGCAGATTCTCTTACACATTAATTAGAAATGAAGAAAAAAAAATCTATTCTTTGGGAGTATTTTATTTTAACAATGTTATTTTAAAATCATTATTAAACTTTTAAAACAGTAAGAATCATGAGAAACAAAGTTTTCATAATAAAATTTTGAATATCTGCCACAAAAAGTGCCATTACTAATGGCGTTACTTTTTTCAACGTTACATTAGAGTAAGAATAAAATAATTAGCTTTTTTTTCTAAAAAATAGAATTAAATGTTTAATATACTTATAATGCATATATCGATTCTTTCCCTATAAACACGACAAGTATAGTTTAGTCCTAATTTTCCGATACATGGATTTCTACATTCCTCAGGCACTCCTTGCTCAATACAACAATCTTTGGATGCAGGTATATTATAAAATAAACATTTATCTTTTGTAAACATTTTTAAAAAAAGAAAAGAACATTGATCTATAAATTGTCAAAGTAATTAACGATACATATTATCAAAAAACGATAATTTCAGACGTCAAATTCTAATCAAATATATCGAAAATAAATTATGAAGCTTTCGGCTATTTATTCAATAAATGTAAAAAAATTCATAAAACAGATAGTAAATATTTTTAATACGCTGTGATAGTTAAACAAATTAAGAGCGATGCTACAGTGGCTCAGGTTTTTTTTAGGAAAATTCATAAAACTTAAAACATTTACAGCGCACCGGAATCCAATTTCAGCATATATAGTGTAATCTACCCTATGAATTAAGACAATTTCGCTATCAATTTCAAAAGTTGATAGAAAAATTGTCTAAAATTTGTTAAAACCCCCAAACGACAAACAAATATAATCAAAATACTTTAAATTAAATCATTATAAATTACCGGTGACATTAATATTGATGGTAAAATTGAATATGGAACTGTTAAGGGATTGTTGAGTAGGTGATAGTTCGTAATCTTCGGCAGTGATTTTGGACGAAAATGTGTCTAAATATTAATGTAAGTCATTTAAGATTTATTTCTTTATAAAGAATTCTAAATAGCTATATGATTAGAGTGCTACTTTAATATTTAAAAACGGTTGATTTAAAAAAAAAAAATGTCCTGCTTGGCCCGATCCCGAATAAATGAAATAAAGATTATTTATCCGCCCGGCCTATCCCTAATTTCTTTAAGTGCCTTGTTTCTTGCAAGAATCAATTTATTTGACAAAAATTAATGATACATATTTAAAAATTTAAGCCCGACCCGGCCAGAAAGGCTACGGGAGTGATTTACAGATCTCTAGTATATATTACAGCTTCTTAGGAATTATGTAGTTAAGTTTTAGCGTTGTGTTTTTTTAAATAAAAAGCTTACGTTTAAACTGAAGAGGTATATATTTTTTTAAATGTGAAAAAAAAATACACACATTTTTGCGTTTCTTTTAAAAACATAAAAGATATTTTTACAATTTGTATGTTACCAAAATTAGCATTTTAAAATACATTATTTGAAATAAAACGCAAAGCGTTGCAGTTTGTAAGCACTTTAATACTTATTTATATACTATCTAATATTTATAATTATTATAAAATATTTTCTTAAGGAAATAAAAGAGAAAAACTACTAAACCCTATACTAATTACTTATTAATAAATAAAATAAAATATACATAGATCTAAAAACAAGTACAATGATTATTATAACGTAAATTTTTTTTTACAATACAACGAAAATTTAAAAAACTATGTCGTTCAAACACAATATTATTAAAAATATTCTATGCCTACCATTTATTTAACTTTCATTTCGTAATAACAAACAAACATAGATAAAAATGTAAAACTAAATCTTTACTTCCCATATAATTTTTTCTATTTTTTTTTTAAATTTAAAATAGTGGAAAAACAAACAGTATAGGGTAAATAACAAATCGTACATTCCGATGATATGAATGTGGTAATGATGTAAAATAATTGTTTTAAAATCTAAATTTCCATAAGGTGGACCATTCAAATGTGGGAGTTATGTTTTTGGTCAACATAGAAAAGTGGTCGTTATATAGAACATCATGGAGGACTGGCTTAAAAAGTAGTTCAAATATATTTTTTTTAAAAAATAAGGTGTCCATTCATGATGACGTTCACCTTTTGGAAGTCCCACTCTATAATTATTAATGATGAATAAATTAAAATTAGCTTAAAGGTAATATTTGAAAAAATACATTTAAAAAATTATAAATATTTTTATAAAAAAATGGAAGGTATTTTTTTTAAAATAAAATTCTTATGTATAAATATATATATTTTTTTAAAAATAGTCTCATTCTTAGATAACCTTCATCACTTAATTTTTATAGCAGAAACAAAAAATCGATAGTTCGTATTTTATTATAATTGTAAATATACTAGTGCTGTAAACGTTACTTCAAAAAGTAACGCTTTATTCGTTACCTTACCTTGCAAAAAAAGTAACGCGTTACTCGTTACTAAAAAAATAAAAAGATATAAATTGCTTTTTAAATTATTTTTTTTCTCTATAAGAATAAAATTATACATTTGAAAGCCAATTTTTGAATTGAAAATGCCTATCCCTTAAAACTAATTTTCTTGTCTATTACATAAAAAAACAAAACCTTACCTTGGCGAATAAAAAAAATATGAGACCTGCAGGCTCGTCAAAGAGAGGGCTGTAATATATTTTTTTTTAAATGAGGCCTAAAATTAAATAAAAAAATTTTAGTGGCCCGAGTCAAATTTTTTTAAAATAAATTTAATTAAATTTAAATTGAAAAATAAGAGGGATTGAATCATTTACCATTCATTCTCCCCTTATATTTACTATTTTACTTTCAAACTAAAGGTCAACGGTCCCGAAAACCCCGATTTCAAAAATCGGACTTCTTTCCAGTCCGATCTTTGGTCCGACCTTTCGATGCGGACCGCTAAAATGTTTTATAAATTAAATTTATGAGATTTATAATTTTGAACTAATGATAATAAATATTTGCAATTCATATTTATAAAATTAAATTTGATATGATAACTGTTAAGCCATATGCTTACCAGACAAAAAATATAGGATCCATTACATGTCAAAATGAACAAGAAAATCGAGATTTTTAGCCGATTTCTTAAAATTTCGATAAGATTTTTTAGGCACGTTATGTATGTTCTAGTAATATCGGAAACGAAATTTTAGCTCATTAGAAATTATATTACTTGAGTTAAAGGTAAAAATCGGTTTAAACCTTTTACTGATGCTAAATAATTAGTTTTAAATTAAAAGTTAAATTAATTCGAATATTGAATCTGATATTAATAACTAAGTCAATAATTGGTAATAATAAGGAAAAGATCAAAATTAAATTTTTTTAAAAAAGTGGTCATATATGTCCATATGAAAAGTAAAAAAAATATTTCGAATATATGAACTTCATTTTTTCAAATTTTTATTATTCTTTTACTATTTTTCTAACAATTTTTTCAATAATTAGTGCGGCTGGATAATTTTTTAAAAATAAAAATATCGCAAATAATTTATAAATGTATAGAACGCTATATATGAACATTACAATGCAATAGAAGGCTTTTTCTATCATATCATTAAGTCATTATAATTGATTTATGAGTAATATCATGCTTGAATTTTTTTTATAAAATTTATTTATTCAATATGCATCATAGATGATAGTATATTAGTAATTTTATTGATTTGAAATGATTGAAACGATATAAAAAAGCCTTTTATTGCCTTAAAATGTTCATATATAACACCATCTATTTATTTTTTATACATTTTTCGGGATATTTTTACGCTAATTGTTGAAGAATTTATTAGAAAAGAGGAAAAAAAATTGAAAAATTGAAACTCATTTTAAATTTTTTACCGAAAATAAGTTGACTGATATTTAAAAAAAATATAATTTCCTTTAATATCAATTATTGACTTAGAATTTAAAACTAATTATAACATTAGTAAAAAGTTTAAAAAACCCTTATACCTTAAGCTCTCAATATATCAGGTAACATAATTGCTAATGAGATAAAATTCCGTTTCCGATGTTAATAACAAATTTTTATCGGAATTAAAAGGGAACGACCGAAATTGATCTGTCATGGAATGACCCCTATCACCAAATGGGTCCAATCTCCAGTGGACATAGTGTTGTTAAACAGCTAGATTTTTAAAAACGGTTAATCCAATATTTTAGCCAAAAAAAATTAAGGAAGCTTCAAGATTTCGTTAATAGATGTCCAAACCCTGCCATTTATGAGTAAAATCTCCAGGTTTGCGTAATATTTTTGGCTAAATATCGGGTTAGTCGTTCAAAAATCGAGCCGTTAAACAACACTAAATGGGCCCTTTACAGCATTGTGCAAATTTGACGGAATGCATTTCCAAATATTTTAATTTATTTTAAATTAAATTATCTAACTTGCAAAAATGGTCAAAACAACATTTTACATAAATAATTTTATTGCAAATAAATTTAAAAAATATGTAAATGTTTCCCATCAAATATGCACAACACTGCATATAAAATAATAGGCTATATATATTATTTTTTATTTCACATTTACATACACTATGGGCTGAATTAAACTTTAATGTTTATTACAAATTTGTTTTTTGCTTCTGTATTTTTGTCTATTATAGTAGGCTCATTATAGAGCGAGCTTTTTATTAGATAGGTTTTTAAATTCTAGAGGCATGTCTGGTATCTATTAGGGTTGAGCAGTAACGCGAATACTTGCATTTTAAATACTAATACTTTTTTGTATTTGTAATTAGTAGTTATTTGAATATTTTATAAAATTTATTATTTGTATTTTAAATTTATAAAATTAAATTTTAATAGGATATAATAAATAATAATGTCAAAATAAAATCAAAATGTCTTAAAATATTTTCTTAATAATAATGACCATTTCTCATTATTATCCAGATTTTTCACTACAGAAAATTTGCTCTGCTATTTAAAATACTTATAAAATGTATTATATTGGTCAACACGTAACCTCCATATAGGCGGGCTACTTAAAGAATGATATCATGTGACTTTTAAAAAATGGATCCGATTCTATTATTTTAATATCGGTCTTCAGCTCGGTCACCTTTAATATATCAGGCTATTACATATTTCTATTGCGTCAATCTGCATTCCTTATTTCTATTGGGATTATTACCTTCTCTATTTTCTATTGGATGCACTTTAATATTTTTGGATCAGCTGATAATTATTTGTCGTTCTTTTTATATGATTTTAATGGCAAACTGTTTAATTTAAAACGTTATCACGCCCATATGTTTATGTATGTGAATCATCCATTTATGACTTTTTCTAAGATAAACATTATTATTATGCATAAACACGCCCATTTTTTTAAAAAAAATTACTTATTTATCTAACCTATATTTTAATAAAGAGCAGAGCATATCACCTCCCTAAATAGGGAAATAAAGAAAAAACAATTTTTGAATGATCACATCATGTATATTCTACTCCATGCATTAATGTATCAGATAAAGTCAAAGTCTCGCCGCCTTCAGGGAATATTTTTAAAAAAGGCGAAGCGGGAGCGAATATAAAATTGCTTTAAATGGCTTCAATAATTGAAAACAATAACAAAAAATAATAATTTCAAAATATTTTATTTACCGTTGACTACTAAGGTGACCGTGGTTATATTTTTGCCGTTGTAAGAACAGATGTAGATGCCACTGTCAGATTTTGTGAGATTTTTGATAAGCAATTGAAGCGCATATATTTGTAAGTCTTGAGTAAATGAACGCCCTAATGAAGAATGTAGAAAAATAATAATAAAAAATAATTTTTTTTATCTCGTAATTTGGCCTACTCGTTTAAAATAAAAGCAATTCGCTCAAGTAAATCGTGTCGCAATATATGATTTTCAAATTTCATAAGAGCAATGTTATGCTTCATCGCATCGCTCAGTCATTATAAATTCTACCCTAGCTTTTGTAAATTACGCAACGATGAATTAAGCGGTTCGTTATTACTATAATCGGAGGCTTAATATTAAATAAGATTTAATATAAAATTCGTAAGCTTGGGCAAAAATTTTCTTTTATATTTTTAATAAATTTTACCCGATAAATTATACCACATATATATTTATAGAGGAAAGATTTGACGAAAGAAAAATTTTGTTTTATCTGATAATTCTTATAGATAAATAATTGGGATATTTTATTTTTTGAAAAACTATGAAATTTCTGATTTTTAATATTTTATTTAAATTCAGAAATATATTTGAACTAATTGTCATTATAACACAATTAAGGAAAAAAAAATTTTTTTTTTAAAAATCGGGTATGACTATTTCAAGCTCTACAGTTATCTATATTATCAGGTCGGGCAAAATATATATCAGAGACCTGTAGACCCGGTTCGGAGCGGTCCGTGAGTTTTAAAATAAATCTGGGCCGGTCTTAAAATTTCAAAATCCGGGTGAGGCCTATTTAATCTTTTTTTAAAGATTATATCAATTAATCAACTGGGAAATGTTAGAGAATCATATAGAGAGTTTAATATTCATTTACTGCTCATATTTTCAACTTCCCTTTGAAACAATTTGCAAAATATAAGGAATTTTTCAATACAGTGAAATTTTAAAAATTTTGGGCCGGGCCGCAAAATAATCACAAATAAATATCCATGTCAGGTTTAAGAATTTTCAAAAATCCCGAGTCGTGCTGAGAATGATTTTTTTTTTATCAAATCAGAGCCAAGCTTAAAATTTAGTCTGCAGATATCTGCTATCTATCTAGGGCTAAACCAAGATTACTATGTGCCGGCATTTAGTATTTTTAAGTTGGCAACAAGAAATCTCGCTAACATGACAGTATAAATTCGATTTAGGGTGGGTTAATGGCTAGAACTTTAGGGCAAATTATAATAAACATTATAAGGCCAAATATAAAAGCTAGTGTAGTTAAAACTATGTATAAGCAAGCTCGACTATATTTTTCATTATACAAAAATTTATATAATAGTTTTTTTAGAGTGCGAGCTTGTTAGTCATGGAGGAAATTGAATTATATATTTAATCATTAAATTTTTATAATAATAGTAAAAATGCACTTTATTTCTAAGGCATAAAGGTAGGGGTTGGGTAGATAAAACTAACAATCTAATGAATAAGTATAAGTAACATATAATTGGTAAATGCATTGTGCTTAATAATTATAATAAACCGGCTTTCACGCAAAAATAAAGTATTTTAAGAAGAAAAAAAAATATAATAAAAAAGTTAACAATATAAATTAAATGCGAAATGTTACAGTAATTACACCTCTACTGTCCTTTTTATTTATTTATGAAATAATCATTATAATATTAAATAAATAGAGTCTTTGCAAATATACAAAAAAAAATTACGAAGAGAGAAAAAAAGATATTTTAAAAGTTATGATATGAAACATGACATTAGTGTCAAACTCAAAAAATTAATTATTTATACCTGAAAAAAATATATACCGGGAGAAAAAACATATTTTTTTATTAATAATAATAATAATATTATATAATAGGCATAAAGAAGGATAATTTGTCAAATGGCAATTGAATGATGCACATAAATTATTTAATTGAAAATATTTAAGAGTATTTTTCATTTACAATTGTATGTGCAATGATAATTTAGCCACTTCGTTACTAAGAATCACATAGGGACAGTCACCATTTAAGAAAATTGTCGTATGGGGATATAAATTTGGAAATATCTCAATTTTATACAATTTATTAAAGAGAAATTTTTAAAGTCTGATTTGACTGGTAATGTATACCAACATATGTAGAGTAAACTACCCTGTAAATTTTAGACAATTTTTGTGATTAAATTTTTTTTGTATTTTTTCCAAATTTGTATGAAAAAATTTATATAATTAAATGAAGAAAAAAGCGTAGTTCAAAAGTTAACCAAAATTGTATGAAATTTAGCGTTTGCATTCTATATGCACTGGAATACCTTTCCGGTCAAATTTCAAGAATCACCCTCAGTAATTGTTTTAAAAAATGAGCCAAATCCCCAGATTCCATATCCCAATCAATTTCAATAATACCAAGACTAACGATACATTCATTAAAAGTGTACATCAATGTAAAATAGCTGAGGGACGCCATTTTTGGTTATGCATAAACTATATAACAAATTTAAAATTTTGAATGTAAGCGAAACAAAATAGTATCCTTCCTCACAATCATTCCAAGTCTATTCTCACAAGTAAATACTGTATTTAGCAGACCAAATTCAAATAATTTAAAGTATTCTTGATATAAGTTATTATCAAAATTGTGTGTCATGTGGTCTCCAGCTGATTTGCATTTAATAACGCTTTAAAATGTATTATTATGAATGAATTGTCAGTCTAGGTATTATTATGACATTGATCCCAATACGACTTATATTTTAAGGCAAAAATATCTGTCAAAAATTTAATTTATAAATTTTTCAACTACTTATTCAGAAGTCTGATGAAATTTTTTTTTAAAAATTATTCGACCAATCTGGCTCAACTGTTTAAGTCCGATACGTTATTCAAAGAAATAAGTTTAATACCGATCCAAAAAATAATTAGTTATGAAAAAATTTTATGATTTAATTTATTTTAATAAAACAAAAAATTTAAGTCCACTCGGTAAAAACCCGATTAGAGTCGTTTTTAATACCAGATCCGAATAGAGCTTTTTAACATCTTAAAGTCTATCCCGAATGAGTCCGAGACAATGTCTGTCATTCATCCAAATTCGGTCAGATAGAACAAGTCGGTTACCAAGGCTCGGATATAAATACCCAAAATAAATTCTTTCACGAGCCCTAAAGGAATTTAATATTTTTTGTTCCATTCCGATTCCTTGTAAAATTTAAAATGTTCCGATGATCATAACTTTTCAGAATCGTTCAAGAAATATAAACGGATTTTAAAAATTTAAGATTAAATTTTATTTTTATAAGATGTCCAAAATCTTTTTTAAAAATCGAGAAGTTTTAAAATTTTAATGAAATCGTTGGTTAAATTTTTGAAATTATATTTTGGATAGTGTTTTTATTTTTATATTTAAAATAAATAAGCTTATTTCTTCTTTTTCGATAAAGTTTCAAAAGGCGAATCGAATTTTTTGATATTTTGGACACAGCCTAAAAATTAACTGAATGAAATAAAATTCACATTTTATCATTATTTGCTTTAGAGGAGCTTTAATATAGATTAATCATATAATTTTAAAATGTTTTTTTAATGTAAAAAAAAAATTATAATAAAAGAAAACCAATATAATTTTTATTTTTTATTATAGAATAATTTATTTAAGTTAAATTCTATCGGTATTGCCGTGATTATATTTTATGGTTAAAAAAAGCAAAGGATAAATAAAATTTCAAAAAATTGGCCTTATATTGATATTAAATAAATTATTCATTATATAAAATTAGTCATTTTATTTTTACAATTAAGGCAAATCAACCATTTTGGCAATTAAAGTCTTTATCAAAATTTTATCGTAAATATTCTTTATAAAAAAATTAATTTCGTTATCTATAAAATTGATTTATATCAAATATATGTCTCGGGCCAGAGTATGAACCGGTCCGAGCTTTAAAATTAATTAAAAACAAATAGTTGCTGGACTGATTTTTTATAAAACTGATTATACAATATATTACTTTATATTTGATCAATTATCTGAAGCATTACGTGATCTTACAAAATAACTAATAAAAAATATTTGCAATGACCAAATTTAAAAACCGTGGCTGGGTTGAATCTTAAAATTATATGAATTTTATAAACTGGGCCAGAAAAAAATGACCATGTTTACTCAGGACCAGCAAATAGATATCCATTGAGCTTGGCTATAGCGTTATTTATTTAATTAATTTTTAGAGGATTTAATTCTTAAGTTATAATTCATAATAGCTCAGTAACCATATGTGTGCGGTTTACTGTAGGCTCACGAGTTCAAATCTAGATTCCAAAAAAACATGAGGGTGGCCACCCGTCATTACGACTTTTATATTATAAACTGTTATAATTATAATAATATTAATTTAAAATTCAATGAATGTTATTTATTAGAATTGCTAAAGTATCGCAACACTATATTCCTTACATTTTTTTTGTGTATCAAAATGAATCGATGATACTTTCGATATTTCAATGTATCGTCGTTTTTTTTAAATGAATAAAAAAAACTTAGAAATGAAAAAAAATATTTTAATTTATGTTTAAATTAATTTATCAGAATTATTTTACATTTAATCATATATCTTACAATAGTTTATTCTCTATTTTAATCAGAGACGTGCAGAGGTACCATTTGCATGGCCCGGTCGGGATTTTTTTTAAAAAATTCCATTTTTTTAGGTCTGGCTCGGGTTTTATATTTTCAGGCCCGGCTCGGCTTTTTTTTCTAAAAAAATTTCAGGCCCGGCCCGGATTTTTTTAAATATATTATATTTTTATTTTTATAGCTAACAATGGGATTACATATATTTTGTTTTAAAAATACGGCCCGGGTAAGATATTTCTTTAAAAAAAATTTTCAGGCCCGGCCCGGGTAAATTTAAAAAAATTAGAATACGGCCCGGCCTGGGAACACGGGTCAGGCTGGGCCTGCAGGTCTCTGATTTTAATACTAAAAATTTAGAAATATATAAATAATTTAATTTTCTAAAATAAAAAGTATTTAAATTGTTTAATATTTAATTTAATTAATTATTCCGAAGTTATCTTATATTTTATCTTAAATAAATATTAAATTAAAAATTATTCGATGAAGGTAATTTGTAAAATAAAATTTTGATAAATTTCTTTAAAGCCAATTTTTAATAATTTTCCACAAAAATTTATTAAATACAATTATATAAAACTATTACTTCTAGCGCATCATTTGGACACTTATACAGTGTTACTAAATGTTTTTACTGATAGGAGGGGATGTGTCCTTGATAAAAATTTTGAAAATGTTTTATTAGTATATATAAATAATAATGTTTAGTATTTAATGTTAATTTGTACATATAATATGTATTATTATTTTTTAGTTATTAGTAAATTATTTCCCAAAATACATCAAAAAATATCTATGATTTTATATTTAATAATATCGATTTGGAGAAAATGTATTTAGAATCAGTATTGTAGACCCGCTTAGAATTTGTATCGGTATCGATACATTTTAAAAGTATTTTAACAAGTCTGTTAGTGAAATAAAATTTCTTTAGAGGAACTCAGAAAAAAACGAATTAAAAATTCAACAATGAATTATGATTTAAATGGTCACAATGACTATGCAACCCCCTTCCTCCGCCAAGTCAAACAAATAAGTGCCATTTCAAAATGACACTAATTTAGACTAAAATCAATTTTTTAAGGTTAAGATTAAATTTGATAAAATAAATTAAATCTATCTAATAAATTATTAATGAGTGTAAACAAGGTAAAATAAAAAAAATACTATATATTAAGCAAATCATCTAAATAGAATAATAGTGAATAACAAAAAGAAATGTCTTTCCATTCTTTCATAAGAATTTTAAACTAAAAAAATGAAAATAAGCATAAATAAAAACAAAAAAAAGAAAGAAAATATCATCCTAGTTGCTTAAACTAGATTGACATCAATTTTGAGAAATCTCTTGTCAAAGATAGAATCCTTTATGGTGAGGACCCGAGTCTGAGGATCCTTTTTGCCTTCAATTTTTAATGAATTACATTGATGCCTGGTATCATTGAAAAATAAGGGTGAGGGGATTGGTTGCCTTATTAGATATTTTTCTAAAATTATGAATTCCAAATAATTTTATTAAGATATTTATATTCCAAGCTAAAATTGCTTATATAAATTCTCTAGTCTACCACTAAGATCTTGGATTCCCAACAAAATTAAAGCCTTTCAAGAACCTTATATCTGTAAAAAAAGTTGGATCCTCCTGTATTGCAGGAATTGTGAGGGGGGACTGGGTGTCTGTCACATACCTCTGAAATTTTCTTCTAGTGTTTTATTGAGATAAATAAAATTTGCAGGTAAGATTTGGGTGTATTATAAATGAATAAAATAGCTGTAAAATTTCCTACATTTTATAATAATACTAAGTATATATAATTTTTAAAAACTGTTTTCAAATTTAATATAGGAGAATTGATAAAAAATAATCTATATAATTTAAAACTCTTTTGGACATGCAAAATTGCAAATTAAATAATTCTAAAAGTATATTTTATTTAATTGTTTGAAACCAGTTGTAGCCTTCATATTTTATATAACATTTAATAAGCCAAATATTGAGTGTAAGAAGATTAATTATAAAACTATAAAATTATTTGAGTTTTAAATTCGTCAGTAGAAAAAATGAAGGTTGGTTTTTCTAGTGAAAATAAAATGATAATTTTGAAAGATGTGATGGGCAAGATGTTATTAATTATAAAAAAAATTTGAATATCTTATTCCTACTAGTAATTTCAATATGTAAAAAAGTTATTTATTCAGTAATTCCAACCAACAAAATTTAGTTAATATAGATATATATAGACATTTAAAACTAAAATTAGCCCTTCACCTGCCCCATAAAATATTTTAATATATATATGCAATTTATAAGTGGACTGTAGTTTTGGCCCAGTCCCTTTTTAATTAGTCCACAGACATTTAAATAATAGTCTTCAGAATATATTTACATATATGCTACTTGCCCGCAAATGTATAAAAGGCTCCTTATATTTTTCCCCAGATATTATCACCCAATTATATGGAAATGAGGAATACCTAGCATAGATATGTTTTATCCACAACATTATTGGACATATGAGCTTTAATTATGTAATTCATTGGTTAGATTTTGTAAAATTATATTCAATTAATTGAGATGTTTTACTAATATTTTCTTAAAAAAATCTGTTATTTATTAAAGATTATATAAAGATACAAGTATTATATTTGTATATCTAAATATACAATTCAGAATTAATTTATAAAATATTAGCCATAATTTTCAAAAAGGGTTAGAAGAATAATTTAGTAAAAACTATAGTAATAATATTTTTTAGCAAGCTATATTAAGTAAATTTTTAGTATATCAAAATATAAAGCTACAAAGTTTATACATAAATAATTATTATTTATTTTTAAATTAAAAATTATACTTACGTGCTTCAAGTTTGACAGAATATATTGAACTATTAACAGTATTGTCAAGATTTAATAATTTATCTCCAATACTCCAATAAGCCTTTTAATAAGTAAATATCAAATTAATATTGAATAAAAATACATCTTGAACAGCAACATTGTTATCCTTAGCTATATTACATACCAATATATGTGACTGACCAGTATACACATACAATTCTGATTCAGCTAAATATTATCAGTTAACATTAATAAATTAAATAATATTAGTACAATATTGAGCATTTGTGTGATATATAATGAATATAAGACCATAAATTATTAACATTTTGTTAAAATGTAATTTTCAAGAATTCCGTGCATTTTATTTCAATACTCAGAATATTATGCCATTTAATAATAGGAATGATTATTGATTTCATATTTATCAGGTAAGTTAATGCATACCTTAATTTTGCAAAAAATATTTATAATGTCACACGATGAAAATGAGAAATGTAAATAAATTTTTTTTTATAAAATATTATTATGAATAATACTAATATAGTAATGTATTTAAATTCATATATTAATAATATGCATAAAATTTATTTATACATATGAATATTTATTATTAATATAATTTAAATTGATAAAAATTGTGATAGTATCGTACCCAATAATATATCATTGATCGTACTGTCACTTGGAAAACCCACAATTAAGGGGGCAATTCTTCTACCCTAGAAAGCATATATAATGCAGTAAATTAGTATGCATGATTTTGCTATTATTAACAGTAGCGTCACTGGGTGGGGGGGGGCATAGGGGCTTTAGATCTTGGAAATTAAAGAGCACAAAATTTAAAATTTTTCCATGCCACTAAAAAAAGGCAAGCTAGCCATAAATAGGTAATTTTGGATAATGTTAGCTAAAATAAAAATATAAAAGGTAATTTTTGAAAATGTTGCCTTAAAAATGAAAAGATTATTTTGAAAATAATTTTAAAAATTTTTTAAACCTTCCCCCCGAGTTTGCAAAGGCTGATGACGCCCCTATTATCAGAGCCCATTTAATTATACAAGGCTGACGATACCTCTTTAAAGATTGAGCATAGATAGAAGCAGAGGGAATCAGGGGCGTCGCTAGCCTTTACAATCTCAGGGGGTTCAACTAAAAAAATCTTATGGGGAGAGAAGCCCTCCCATACCCCCAATTTGCCCGCTTTTACTCGGTCTTCGGCCGGGTTTTATATTAATATATTATACTTTTTTAAAATTTGCTAACTCTAAACAATTATTCTGAATTTCATATTTTGTCATTTAATAAATTTTGCATACAAATAACAAACATATAAATAATTAAAACAATACAAGACATATCTAAAAATATAATTTTTTAATACAAAATCTATTTATTACAATATAAAATATTTTCGATGGTTGATATAAAAAAAATTTGCGTCTAAAGAATTACAAGTGATAAAAAAGGTTAATTAATTCATACATATGCCTCAATTAATAATGGTTTTTAAAAGCCAGATAAGGCTATAAATTCTTAGCAACTTACATTGACAAAAGGTCATGTAACTAATAAAACTCTCTGTTACCATTTTAGACAATGTTTTATAGAATGGACTATTAAGAAAAAATTTATAGGCCTTACCAAATTAACAATTCTTGAAGAAAAAAATATAAACGACATATCCAAATCATAAAGCTATACGGTAGTTAGAGCATCCTCTTAGATGACATGATGGAAGCTAGATAAGTAGTCGAGAGAATTATTGTAAGATATTAAATTTCTAAAAGATTATCATCCATTTTTAATGATATATAAACGACTACACAGTTGGCCATTATTGCATATCTAAAATATGCAATCATATGCTCTCAGCAGCTGTAGTAATAATGTTACATTACATACCCACACAAATAATAAATGCTGGTTAATTTACAGTCATAGCCCTGACACTCACAATGGTAACTTATATCAGAATTTACTATGTTAGAATTGATAAAACAAAAACACTAAAAATCTTTAGAAAAAATTATGCAAATATATTGAAGCCTTGAGTTATTTACACGGCAAGGATGACATATTAGAAATGAAACATTTTGTAACTATAAATAAGAACCAGAGTGATATTATGAAAGCAATTAAAATTTTATATATTATTGTCGCACTATTTCTAGTTGATTTATTATATCTTAAAAAAATAGTAATTTGTAATAATATCTAAAATATATTCGTATTAAAAATTTAACTCAGAACTGTTTTTCAAAGAAGAAAAAATAGATTTCCTAAAAATACGCAAAAAAAAGAGAAGAAAAGATATCTAATTTATTATATCCATTGTGGGATGAATAATAAGATATTTAATTATAATAATATTTTAAATACATAGATCAGTAGCGTAGCTAGGAATTTTACTTAGAGGGGGTCCATGCATATAAAAGATGGGGGGCTTCGCAGACCCCCTTTAACGGGCCTTCGGCCCTTTTGCCCGGCCTTCGGCCTGGTTTATCTTACAAATCATAACCATATCTTTGATAATATATAATAAATATATTTTTTAAATGCATCAATAATAAGTAGATTATTCTCAATGACTTTATAATAATACTATCCCGAATAATTTCAATAGTAATATAATATCCTTCCACAAACATCAAAACCAGAAAAATATAATTCATATAAAATCACTTTTAAGTCTTTTGAACGTATATTCTAAAAATAATTTTTGCTCTGGGAGGGGTCCAAACCCGAAAACCACCCCCGTAGCTACGCCACTGACATAGATGGTGTTAAATGGTTGAATGCAAATTTTTACTTATATTTATTATCAAAAGCATTGATTAATAAAATATTAAAAATATTAACTGAAATATATTATATAACTGTCAAATACGTCTGCAAAAGTGGCATTTTATCTAATATTTTATAAATAATTATATATAAGAGAAGATTATAAACTATATGTCTACTTACTTTTTATAAATAAATCTCTTATACTTATTTGATTTGGACCTTGAAAATAATTTTAGAAAGAGACATGATAATTAAATTTAAAAATCAATAATAAAGTTGATTAGTGATGTTAAACTCGGCTAATTGCAATTAAATTCGTTAATTTTCAATTAATAAATGATTATATTAATTTTATATTAATTTAAATAATAAAAGTCAATTAAGATTCAACTGTTAATGCTAAATTAATATTTAGTGAGTGATATTGATATATTTTTAACACAGAATTTGATTGCAAACTGACAGAAAATAAAATTTATATGAATTAATCTTATCTATTTAATAAAAATTTAGATAGTCTTATTAATTTTTAAATAATAAAATAAAATTTACATGAATTAATCTTATCTATTTAATAAAAATTTAGATAGTCTTATTAATTTTTAAATAATAAAATTAAATCTATATATTACTCAATAGAATTATAGAATAAATTTTTCAGGGAGCAATTAAAAAATTTATTTTTAGTTCTATGGTATATTAAGGAGTCATTAAAAAAAATTTGCTTCAGGGGGCTATTCAAATTTTTCCGGGGGCTCGAACCCCTGCTTCCCCCCCCTAGCGGCCTGGGTAATGCTAATTACAAAAGGGAGTACTAAAGGCGCCAATTTTTTTATTTTTAAATTATCTACAGATTTATTTACTTTATTTATATACAATTTTCTGGGAACATTACCCATATATCCCTATCGCGGGCCTTCGGCTCGCTGCATTCTTTTACCATAAATCAAACCATATCTATTAACCAATTCAAATGCTTCAATAAAATATTCAAAAATAACACCGATTCTCATAAAAATTTGAAAATGTTTTTAATAAGTTTGTCCTATGATTTCGCTTATTAAAGGTAAATATTAAATTTAAGCACAACATGCAAAAATGAATATACATTGAATTTATAAACATTACATATTGTAGTAATTGGAGATTACATTTCTACGCATGTTGCTTTATAAATTAACTGAATGGTTCTATTATATTTATATATTTTATAATTCACTGCTAATGTGAGGATAAAATTATGGATGTGATTAAATATGTTAAAAAAATTAGTACAATGTATATTGTATCTATATCAAACCATTAAACCTATGTGTAGTGATAGCTACCAAACACGGGAGACAAGAATAATGTATCCACATCATATGGTTTTAGAGTTGGAGGAAAGTTCGAGAATGATAACTAGGGATTATGGAAAGAGATAAGGATGTTTATGATTGTTTAATATTATTTGTATAAAAATGGTTTATTTGATTGCAATAAAGAATTATATGAAGTCCAAATTATATATATGCTACAGATTGGCAACGTTATGAAATTAACTGATCAAGAAATATATTAGTGAATCGTATTGAAGTATACAAACTATTTTTTATATGTGATATTATCCTGAGCAACAGGGGCGGACTGGTCAGTAAGCCTAGTGGAAAAATTTCTTATGGGGCCTCAAGATTTTACAAATTTTGGGGCCTCTCTATAGTAAATTACAAATTTGAGGGCCTCCTTAGTAAAGAAAAAAGAATTATTTTAAAATTAAATTGGCATAAAATCTAAATATGTTTTAATACAAAATTTTTTTTAAACATTAGAAATTTAAATAATTATCAAATATTAATTTAATTATCTGATGGAGTTATAAGCACTATAAAAAAAATTCATTCATTTTATTTAAAGTTTATGTTTATATATAGAAAATACATTATCATTACTGAAAAAAAAATGAAAATAATAAACAGCACAAGTAAAACCAAACCCCATAAAAATAATTTATAATTTTCTCATATTCATAAAGTTAAAATAAAATTAACATGCTAACCCAGAACTTATTATAAGTATAAAGAAAATTTATGCCCACCCTCCTCCCTCCCAACTAAAATGAGCCATAGTTGTTTCACAAATATAATCCAATGTAAATGTTAAAGGATTTTTCTAGACTAGTGGAATCTTTACTTAAAATATATTGACTATTAATAATCTTATCATTGAAACATAATATCAACATTTTATCCGACATAGATCATTAAATATAAAGAAAAAATATATAGATAACCTTGATATGATATGATAGCTATTTTATAAAATATAAATTCTAATTTTAATTAACAAAAATAAATATAAATGTGGGCGATTGTATTGAATAACTACGGAAGATTGAAGGTTAAGAATATATCATCAATTGTAGAATCCGTGAAGATTAAGAATATTAATAAAGTTCTTAATTTTTAACTAAGGTCAAATAAAAAAAAAAGCGAAAGTAATCATGATTATTTAGTATATATACATCAATTTAATATTAAAATAAAAATCATTTATAACTTTTCAAAACATCAATTTAATATTAAATATAATATAACATATCGTTTTAAGCCTTAAGTCTTCTACAATACAAAATCCATTAATAAACTTGTAT